AACACACCCTCCTCAGTGTCCCTGTCATAACACACCCTCACCGGCCATCCTCAGTGTCCCTGTCATAACACACCCCCACGGGCCATCCTCAGTGTCCCTGTCATAACACACCCTCACGGGCCATCCTCAGGGTCCCACTTCCTCCAGTTCTGCCCCACTCCCTAAAATCTCCACGACCTCCCCAATAGCACCAACAGGTGAGGACAGGGATTCAAGACAAGGACCTATGGGGAATGACTCATATTTGATCTAGCAATACCCAGTCTGCTTCAGAAGGTGCTGAAAGGTGAGCAGATTCGGTCAGTCACTGCCCACACAGTAGCAGTGGGTGGCACTACTACAGAGTCTAGAAGCCGTGTGGAAACACGGGGCTCAGAGAGAAGACTTGAAGGGAGAAGGTTTTGCCTTCCTTCATCGTTGACCTTCCTCTCAGCTCTCTGTACCCCGCATCAAGTAGACTGTAAGGATGGTGACAAAGTGTAGCATCACAAAGGACAAAGCAGACGTCCTCCCCACAACGGCATCAGGACAGGGCTTTCTCCACTGTCTGCTGCACATCTGAAACTAAAAACTGCCACAGGGACTCTGAGTGAGGAATCTTCCACGCATGCCAAAAAGAAAGAGCTGGGGCTCTGTGGCCGTCCCAAGTGTGCCTGGGAGGTGAAAGTGATACCCTCAGACAAGCTAAAGGCAAGGCAGGCTCCCCTGCATCCAGCACAGCATCTTTTTCCCAGAGAGAAGGGCTCGGGGAAAACGTCCAGGGCTACAGAGATTTAAGCCTGTTTCCTCTCAGGCATTGTGAGTCCCTTTATCACTCTCCTCACTCTGCTCCTCCCCCACCTCCTTGGGCTTTACTACATTAATTCCCTGGCCTCCCTTGCCTCTAGCCAAGATAAGCATGTGGGCCCCGCATTGCTGCAGAGACTGGGTTTTATGTCAGAAACCCGATTCCCTCGGTAACCAACATTTCTCTGTTTAGAGTCTGTGCTGAAGAGATGATCGTCTTCACCGTCGTGTTTACTAAGTAGCAAGTTGTGAAAAAAAGCCATCATAGTCCACGCCAAAGATAGCCACGCTTTACCCAACTGCTTTCATCCTGGGGAACTCGGGAAATTGTTCATTTCATTCCCATGTACCCCACCTTGCCGTAGAGACCATTTTAATCACATAAAAATCAACCAAGTTTAAAAATAATGTAAAAAAAGATACACAGGAAGATCAAAAGGGCTTAAGAATGAGATTGGTCCCCAAATATAGGCCAGGAAAATGTCACTCCACATTATGGCTGTAAATTTGACTCGATGCTTTCTGACAAAGGTAGGAATATGATCAGCTGTGGGATTTATGGGGCTGGAAAGTTGGCTCAGCTGGTAAAGTGTTCTCTGTGCTCAGAGCCTGAGTTCTGATCCCCACATTCCATGTGAAGCTGTGCATAGTGGCATGTGCCTGTGTGACCAGCACAGAAAAGGGCATCTCTGGGGCCGTCTGGCCAGTCAGCCCAGCTGAGCACTGGTTTGGTAAGAGCTCCTGTCTCAAAAACTGACCGAGGAAGATGTCCAACATTGACCCTTGGTTTCCGAATGCATATGGGGGCAGACACACACACACAGACACACTCACACACAGACACACTCACACAGTCACACAGACATACACACACAGACACACTCACACACAGACACACAGACAGACACATACACAGACATACACACAGACACACACACACACAGACACATACACAGACACCCACACACACAGACACACAGACACACACACAGACACACTCACACACAGACACACTCACACAGTCACACAGACATACACACACAGACACCCTCACACACAGACACACAGACAGACACATACACAGACATACACACAGACACACACACACACAGACACATACACAGACACCCACACACACAGACACACAGACACACACACAGACACACTCACACACAGACACACTCACACAGTCACACAGACATACACACACAGACACCCTCACACACAGACACACAGACAGACACATACACAGACATACACACAGACACACACACACACAGACACATACACAGACACCCACACACACAGACACACAGACACACACACAGACACACTCACACACAGACACACTCACACAGTCACACAGACATACACACACAGACACCCTCACACACAGACACACAGACAGACACACACACAGACACACACACAGACACACTCACACACAGACACACACACAGTCACACATACACACTCACACACAGACACACACACACACAGTCACACACAGACACACACACAGAGACACACACACACACACAGACACAAACACAGACACACACACACAGACACAGACACACACACACATACACATACACACACACAGACACACACACACAGAGACACACACACACACAAACACAGACACACAGACACAGACACACACACAGACACACACACACAGACACAAACACACAGACACACACACACACACACACACACACACACAGGGGATTTATATTTAACAAACATGCTATATGCTGAGGGCTAGTCTAAAAACAAGAAAAAGGGGTGGCTATGTGGCTCAGGGGTGGAACATTTGCCTAGAAAACCTGAGGCTCTGGCTTTGACCCCCAGCAGGTGGAGTAGAGGTAGGCTGTATGTAGCTATTGCTTAATGGCAAAATAAAAATGAGAGGGAAATGTCTCCTAAGTATCTCCATTGGCAGGATTATGTGTAGTGGAACTGATGTCTTCAGCAGTATGTATACAGTAAATAAGTGGTAAGTTTCTCGATGAGAATCCGAGGGGAAGGAGGGACTGAGCAAGGGAAACAAGGGATGGGACTGGAGGAGTCTGGAAGGGTGAGATCCATCAACTAAGGATTTGAATGCCGGCGTCTTTCTCCGTCTCTGCAAGCACTGCCACAGGAAGGAAAGAAATAACTGAAATTTCCCTCTCCCCCAGCAGATGGAGAGGACCAAGTGATAAGCAGAATTGTTGAGCTACTCAAATACTCAGGGGATCATCTGGGAAGAGAGGTATGAAGCCCCTGGAGTTGGTGTGATTGCTGTCTGCGCCCACGCACTAGGGCAGGGCGATGGAATTGTGCACCAGGCTCTGGCCCTCGTCCTCCCCAGAGTCCTGCCTTTCCCGTGGTCTTACATTTTATTTCCCTTGGAGTCTGCATATTCACACTGGCAGCTTCTCAAAAATGAATCACTTTGGAAAACACAAGTAAATCTTCTGGAGCCTCCTTGGAATTTCTGGAAACTAGAAATGCAACTGTGTTTACTGTAAGAAAAGACATTGGGAAAATGGAAATTTGCTGCATAGGTTTATCAACCGCCTTCTCATGTAACTCAACCTCAGGGGAGTCTGGATGGCTGCAACTGCCCAGCAGCCTAGATATGTGTCTCAAAGCTGCTCAGAGGGTGCTCTCTGAAATCCCCCATACTGTTGCTGGACTGTGCCTGATTAAAGACTGTCTTAGCAATTCACCCAGGGGGGCAGGCTGGTGCTACTTAGGGAACCCGTAAGTGGAGAAGTGGAGACCCACCCTTCTCATTAGAAAGTGAGACAGCTGTCCTCGGGTGACATTGAAGAACAAGCCCATAGTGCCATCAGAAGCCATTTTCTTTTGTGCCCAAAACTATCATCTATCTCTGAGGTCTGTCGATTGGAACCTGGCTTAGAGAGTCTTCTTTAGTGGTCAGGACCTGTTGGGAGGAAGTCAGGTTCATGGACAATGCATGGGGCTTCTGCAGAAGGGAAAAGCAGAATAAAATGGCAGCCCCAGCATGACCACAGTTCCTCTCCAGTAGCCTTGCCAGACATGTGCCCAAAAGATGGTGACAGAAGAGGATAAAAGCCCCTAGGGAAGGTGTAGAGTGGAAACCAGGAATACTGGACTAAAGAGAAGAGAGTGGCTTGTGTGAACTTTGGGATCACTGGCAGGGGCAGAGTAGGCCTGCAAGGAAACAGGAAGCTTGTAATATCGGGCCGACAGACCTCAAGCAGCAGTCCACAGAGATCCAGGTTCGAGGACCAGGTGGGAGGTGAAATCAATTGGGTAGAATAATGGGGAAGGAAATCTGTGGATTTATCTATTTATTTGTTTATTTCACGTGGGGATGGCATGGGATGTACATGGGCACGTGCCCTGGGATGCACATAGAGGTCAGAGGACGGGCAGGAGCCTGTGTTCTCCTATCCCCAAGGATCCTGGGTGTCAGACTTAGACTTACAGCAAGTACCCATTGAGCCATCTCCCCATCCCCCCATCTCTCTCCCATACTTATTTTTAGTAAACAAACAAATATGGGGAATCTTCCCTGGCTTCATCGTACCTCCAGAGCTCCTCCTTCATGCCCAATAATGTTCTGTCACTATGCTAGTTTAGAGATGAAATCAACACATATGAAAAGTGACTAGTGTCCCCAAGATTGCACTGCTGGTGAGAAGGTGAGGCGGAGTGCATACCCCAAGACGTCACCAAGGCTCAGATCTCATCCATAGCCCTGCCTCTTGAAAAAGCACACAGCACTATGAGCCATTCCCACTAGACTGTGGGCCCATGGGTGAGCACTGGGGCTGAGTCACCCATAACACCTTTCCATCCTTGGTGCTTGGGAAGTACCTGAGTGTTGAATGAACTTTTCAGTTTTGCCCTTATTTGTTCCAATGAAAGGAATCCACAGAGCAGGTACCTGGTTCCAGTTGACTCTGTAGGATGCCATGCCATGACTGACTCTGCAATCCAGGGTCTTTTTAGTGGTGCCTTTGGGTTCAAGCATGGCCTTCCACATGCCTCCTAATTGTTTCTCCTCTCATACCCAGATGAAGAAAGACAAGGCTTTGATGAGCAGCTTCCAGGACGGGCTGTCCTACTCAGCATTCAAGACCATCGCAGACCTGTTCCTGAGGGATATAGACACCAGAGGAGAATCAGAAATTAGAGCTCATGGCTTTAAGGCTGCTCTTGCAATAGATGCCATAGCCAAGCTCACGGCCATTGACAACCACCCAATGAATAGGATGCTGGGCTTTGGAACCAAGTATCTAAAAGAGTACTTCTCCCCCTGGGTCCAACAGAATGGTGGATGGGTAAGTGTAACCCATGAAGAAAATGAGTCCTCTCAACAGGGTATTGTGGCAAGTGTGCACTTAGGAGGTCCAGGTAGGAAGAGTGAGTTTGGGACAAGCCTTCACTACATAGTGAGACCTTAACACACACATACACACTCACTCTTGTGCATGCACACACATACACAACACACCACACCACACATAACCTGACATACCAGACATACACACACACACACACACACACACACATACACACACACACCATACACACCAAACACATACACACTTACACACACAATATATACACCACACTCACACATGCACACACACACATACACACCACACACACACCACTTCTCTAATAAGGGATGAGTGATACGATTCTTTTATTAAGACAAAGGGAACACATCTGGGAATCGGTTCTCATGGGGTTAGGACACTCAAGTGGCAAGAGACAAGACCCATCAATTGGAACATATTTTTAGCAACGATCTTCTTTGTCCACAAATAGTTACTGAGCTCCCAGAGGGCATGTTGGGTGAGGGGGCAAAGGATCAGGGAAAGCAGGAAATGAGGAGGGGCTGGGAAGACACGCGTTTCAGTGGATGCCATTTCTTCTTCCACAAATTCTGTAGCAACAGAATGCAGCTGGTCAGATGAGGGCAGGGGACACTGGTTCTCACTCCTGGATGCCAGCAGGATGTAGGGCTGACCTTCACACGGGGACTCAGGCTCACAGTACGCTGCCATTGCTGCTTAGACCTCAACAGGGACATTGTGACGCAGACTGAAAAACAAACAATGGAACTTGCATCTAGTTTTTGATGAGCTGACTTAATCACACCAGCTTCCTTCCCCCTGTGCCCCGCCTGTCCTCCATCTTAATCTCTGTTCTCTGAGACTGTGCCCCAAATGGTCTCACACTGTCCTTGGGCTTCTTTCCACAAGAATGTTCCAGGGCCAGCAGGACACTTGAGTCAACTTTAGGTATGGCCAGAGTGTCCCTGAGTCTTCCTCATAGGCTGGTCTCCTGAGTCTCACAAAGAAGTGTGTCCTATATTCCCCATGGAGCTGAAAAGTCTGCCATTTTCCTCAGTGGCCTCCCACTTAGCCCCTGCTCCTTTCTGTGGTCCACATTTGCAGCAGGTGTGAGAACTGTGAAGTGCTCTAACCGCCCCCAAACTCAAGCTGCCTGACCAGTTCTGAAGGAGGTTACATCTCACACCAGTATTTCAGTTCCCCTTTCTTCCTCTCCAGTCCCTCTGCTGCCCTCCTGTCCCTGACCTCCCTCCAACCTCTGTGAGGGGGGGGGGGGGATGAGAAGAGAACAACCAGGGAATCAGCTCAGTACAGTGTGTGTTTGGCATGTGTTAGGCCTCGAGTTCAGTCCCCAGTATGGGGTGGAGCAGGAAGGAAGAGGAATGGGGGAAATAGGGATAGGGAATGGAGAGGAAAATAAGAGCTTGGAAGAAAAGAGAAAGAAGGAGAAAAGGAAGGCAGGAGGGAGAGAAAGAGGAAGGGCAGAAGGAAGGAAGGAGGGAAGGAGGGAGGAGGTACACGGAATGGGGGAAATTTTTCCAAGTCATATATTTAAATAAATGATTTGTATCCAGAAGATATAATGAACTCTTACAATTAATTCCACAATGAAAAAGACAAGTGATTTAATTTTTTTTTAAATGGGCAATAGACATGTCCACTGTTTCTCCCAGGAGGCTATGTAAACAGTCAACATGCAAAAGGAAAGATGCTTGTCATGCTCATTTCAATAGTGGGAAGATACAAGTCAAAGAGCTGAGGAACGCTACCCACTGGGAAGTCTAGGAAAAAGGCCATCTGTGAGACTGGGAATGGCAGCCTCCTTACATTGCTGGTTGGATAGCAGAACCACGTAGCCCCTTGGAGAACAATCTGGCAGTTCTCACAAATATTAGCAAAATGTCAAGTAGAGTCATCAGGAGCTGGGTGTGTAGCCCAGTGGTAGAGTATGTCCTCAGCGGTAAAGGCAATGGGTTCGATCCCCAGCACCAATAAATAATAAATAAATAAAGGTAAAATAGAGCTACTGTCTCTACCCCTCAAAAACTGGAAACATTTCAACCAAAACAATGTACATAAATATTCATGGCTGAATTCATTATTCATGATAGCCATGAAGCAGAAACAACTGCAGTGCCCATCAGCTAGTGAACAATGATTAGCCAAATGAAGCAATACCGTGCTATGGAAATTGATGGAACCATAAGATGAAAAAACTCACTGGCAATGAATGAGCCATAGGACACATTATGCTGGGCTGAAGAGATGGCTCAGCGGTGAAGAACAGTTGCTACCCTTTCAGAGCATCCAAGTTCCGATGCCCAGCTTCCTGACTGCCTGTAACTCCAGATACCAGGGTTCCAATGCCTCTTCTGGCCTCTGTGGACACTCACACATATGTGCCCACACTCACAGACTCACAAGCATATTCTTGATAGAAAAATAAAGTAAAATTGAAGAAAGCATTATGTTAAGAAAGCCAGGCAAGAATGTCACTTGTTCCATGGTTCTATTCATATACAATGTCCAAAATAAGCAAATTCCTGGAAACAGAATGGAGACTGGTCAGGGACTGGGGCTGACCACTAGCAGGCACAGACTTTCTTTGTGGAGTGACAAAGGGTTCCAGGGTGATGGTGCACAGCCCTGAATACTAAACGCCACTAAGCCATGCACTTTAGTAGGAGGAATTTTGTGGTAACATTATATTGCAGTAATTATTGATTATAAATTATATTTCAGTAATAAAAAACAGCTCTAATTCCAGCAATCAAATAAAAGAAGAGGGGAAAACGAATGCAAAGATTTTAATTATTTAACTTGGCTCCTGGATGGAGAGAGAGAGAGAGAAGCAGATTCAGTCAGAGGAGGTAGATGAGTCCTTCTGGAGGAATTTGGAGGGGACTTGTCAGAGATTAGAAACTGATGCAATTGCTGGAGTGTGTGTGTGTGTGTGTGTGTGTGTGTGTGTGTGTGTGTGTGTGTGTCTGTGTCTGTGTATGTGTGTGTATGTATGTGTGTATGTGTGTGTATGTGGTGTGTGTGTCTGTGTCTCTGTGTCTGTGTCTTTGTGTATGTGTATGTGTGTGTGAGTGTGTGTGAGTGTGTCTGTGTGTGTGTGTGTGTCTATGTGTCTCTGTGTGTGTGTGTGTCTATGTGTCTCTGTGTGTGTGTGTGTCTATGTGTGTGTGTGTGTGTATGTGTCTCTCTGTGTGTGTGTGTCTATGTGTGTGTGTGTGTGTGTGTGTGTTTGTGTGTGTGTGTGTGTCTGTGTATGTGTGTGTTTGTGTGTGTATGTGGTGTGTGTGTGTCTGTGACTCTGTGTCTCTGTGTATGTGTATGTGTGTGTGTCTGTGAGTGTGTGTGTGTGTGTCTGTGTGTGTGTGTCTGTGTGTGTGTGTGTGTGTGTGTGTGTGTCTGTGTGTGTATGTGGTGTGTGTGTGTCTGTGACTCTGTGTCTCTGTGTGTGTGTGTGTGTGTGTGTGTGTGTGTGTGTGTTTCTGTCTGTCGGTGTGTCTACCCTAGGGGTTGCACCCAGGACCTCATGTGCTAATGCATGTAAGATACAGGCTTAGGTGTATCCCCCAGTATCTGGTTTTTGTTTGTTTTTAAATCTTTCTTTCTTATTTATATGTATTTTTGCTTTTGTTTTTGAGTCAAAGTCTTCCTTATTTCCTGCTGATCTGGGGATCAGACCCAAAGGCTTTGTGCATGCTAGGCAAGCAGTCTCCCCACCTGTGACATCCGCAGCCCCAGCCTCTGTACTTTCCCATCCAAATGTGGCGGTCCTGGTTATGATAAACCTTAATCTTCACTCTTAGCCTTAGTTAGGTTTAATCTGCAGAGTGTCAGTTACAAGACGGAGAAGGCAATGATGTGGGAGAACTGACTTTGCCAAGATGCCAGAAAAGCCTAGAAAACTAAGAGATATTGATGAAGGGATATTTAGAACACACTGGAATTGATGCTACCTGGGGAAGTGTGAGCTAGACATGGTGCTGTATACATAATCCTAGCTTTCAGGAGGCTGAGACAGGATGACAGCTGTGAGATCGAGGCTAGCCTAGGCTACAGAGTAAGATCCTGTCTCAAAATGAAAGAGGGAAAGAAGGAAGGGAGCGGAGGAAGGAGTAGAGAAGGAAGGAGAATCCAATCCAAGGGAAGGTGGATGAGGAGGGGGAGGAGGGTGGGGTGTGAGGTAGGAAGTCTCTTTGTCTCCATACTGCAGGTTTCCTGGGCTTTCTACTAACCATTCCAACTCAGCTACAGTTTGCCTGGGGTGATAGAGTTTTTCTCACTGCTCCTGTTACTTTACATACATCAAGGATGTTGAGCCAATGCTTGTTCAGAGGGTCCGTTCCATCTCCAAACCCTGCTGTGTTAATTTCTTTTCTCAGTGCTGAGAAGGAAGTGGCCTGAGGGAGGTTGGGTTATTTTATCTCTGAGTCATGCAAGGGAAGGCACCCCCGTGATGTGGGGGTGTGGGACTCCTCATTTCACTTCTTGGGTGGACAGGAAGCCGAGAGCAAACAGGAAAATGGGGCCAGGCTATCAAAAGTCAAGGTCCACCCTCAGTGATCACCTTCCTCCAGCAATGCCCCACCCCTTTGAGGTTCCAGAACCTTCCAAAACGGGGCCAGCAGCTGGTACAAAGTGTTCAACACAAGCGTCTTTAGGAGAGACCCTTCACACTCAAAACAACACAAACCAAACAGGCTTCTTCCTTACTGTTCACACAGTCGCTGCCGCCTCCATCGGTGACAACCCTCCCTTCCTTTTTCGAATCTTAAAAGGGGTCTCAAGGCCTTAGCAGATTTCATAGGTCAGTCTTTAGTCCCGGATGTGTGCAACCTAAGGCCTTAGCTCTTGGTTTCCCTGCAGGCACCCCAAGGATGCCAAACCAGCCTTCCACACCTTCCCCAGCTCCAGCCCAGCCTGCCCGTGTTTTCACTTCAGCAGTGACTCAAACTTTGAATGTTAAGGTCTTTCCTTCCCTTTCTCCTCTAGGAAAAAATACTGGGGATATCACATGAAGAAGTAGACTGAATTATCCAAGGACCCGTCATCTGGAATGTTCTCTGTCCAACGGTGGTCCTGTGCCCACTGCTCTCAGCATAGACTTCAGGAGAAAATTAAAATGCATGAAACAGATGGAGCCCACTTTTTCTAGAACCATCCTTCCTTTGACTCAAGAGGCACGGGAGAGGCCTTGCTCTTCCAGCTCTTAGAACTCAGTAGTATGGACATTGCATTGAGGTTATTTGAGCTAGGCGTATGAGGGAGTCCATAAAGATCCGTGGTCATCTTACCTTTAAATGTTCAGAACGGAAACCATCCCGTTAGTTACATCACAGGAAGTGTTTGGCAGGTATCTGCTGATCTCATGGAGGTAAACAATAAACTCTGCATGTGCTTACTTTTTTAGTCTCTGGTACTGTTCTCAGACACCATTTGGGATAGTCTGGTAATCGCATCATCTCAAAAGCTTACCTTTAGAGAGATGTCACTATTCGAGTTTACTGTTAGCTCTGCTTTAGGTGTGGTGATATATTATTTACAATTTACTAAAGCTTGCCTGAAAGATCAGGGAAGCAAAGCGGCCAGCCACTAGAGAGTTCTCACCTCTACCAATGCTCAGACTGAAGGGGCGATCCACTGAACCTCAGATTGCATCTCCAGAATGCACTGCTCTCCACCATATCTCAGAATCCTAGACGGCCCTGCTCTCCTCAATGTGGCTGGAGACTAATTGCCACGTGAGACCCTTGGCTTCTTCCTTACACACCTCTCTAGTGCTGGAATAAAAGGTGTGTGAGCTCTGTTACTCTTTTAGACTGATTCACTCTTGTGTAGCCCTGGGTGGCCTTGAACTCCCAGAGATCTATCTGCCTCTGTCTCCTGAGTCCTGGGATTAAAGGTGACTGCCACTACTCCCCAGCTTCTATGACTGTCTAGTGTGACTGGCTTTGCATTCTGATCCTTCAGGCAAGCTTTATTAAATCATAAATAATATATCACCACATTTGGGTATAAGCCTTGCTGACCCATTCCCTCAAAACCTGTGGCAGTTTGACAAACTTCCATTTGGTACAAAATCATTAGCTCATCATTTACAGATTTCTTTGTGTGACATACCTCCACTCCACTAGGTTTCTGGAATTGAGAGTGGGGGGCACACACATACCATAGCATGTGTACAGAGGTCGAGGGGCAACCTCAGGTGTTGGTCCTCATTGTCTACCTCGTCTGAAGCAAGGCCTCTTGTGCATTGCTTTATACCCTGGCTAGATGGCTTGAGAGCATCTGGGGATCCTCTGTCTCCACCCCGTATCCCATCACTAGGATTACAGATGTACACTGAGACATCTGTATGTTTAGACGTGTGCTGTGGATTCAAACACTGGTCCTTACACTTGTGCCGCTAACACTTAACCCACAGTGACATCTCCCCAGCCTGAGCTCTGGGATTTTATTATTCCTGGAGGTATCATAATGGTTGGTAACTAGTAAAATAAATATGTTGGAAGATTGCTGCTAAAAGTGTCATCTAAGCTGGGTGTGGTGACAGTTGCCTGCAGCCCCAGCTTTCAGGAGGCCAAGGCTGAGGTGGGAGGACCACAAGTTTGGGGCCAACCAGGCAAACATAATGAGTTCAAGAACTTGTCCCAACACTCCCCTCCCAAAAAGTGTTTTCTGTTAAAATAAATAGTAAGTGGTCATAGTAGAGCTTCCGTGAAGACCAAATGTGTTAACCTATATAGAGCGCTCGGAATGGTTCTCAGGCCGACTTAGTTGGTGTTAACTAGTTGACTTAGTTAATGTTAACTAGTTGCTGTGTTTCCTACTGTGAGCTGCCACAATGCAGCTGAAAGTGCTCCATCCTCTGTGGCAGAATATTACTTTAAGGTGTGTGCGACTTTTGTTTATGCCGCAATTGTTTAACTCTGTGAAGCTGTGCCTGTCTAAAACACCTGGTGGTCCTGCTAAAAAGCTGAGCAGCCAATAGCGAGGCAGGAGCAAGGATAGGTGGGGCTGGCAGGCAGACAGTACAAACAGGAGGAGAAATGAGGGTGAGGAGAGGGGGGTCAGACGCTCAGCCAACCAGGGAGTAAGAAGGGAAGTAAGTTATACAGAAGAAAAAAGATAAAAGCCCAGAGGGAAAAGGTAAGATGGGTTAATTTAAGATAAAAGAAGCTGACTAGAAACAAGCCAAGCAAAGGGCAGGCAGTCCTAAGAATAAACCTGTGTGTGTGATGTATTTGGGAGCTGGGTGGTGGACCCCTCAAAAAACCAAAAGCATTAAGAATAAAGACATTTCACACAACAATTCTCAGTTACTGGTTGCTCTTTTGCTATCGATATTATCACAAAAAACAACGACAAACAAACAAAAAACCATTTAGCAGGCATGGTAGTACTCCTCTGTGTTCCCAACACTTGAGAGAGGCTGAGGCAGGAGGATTGCAAGTTCCAAGCCAATCTGGTCTACATAGTAAGACCCTGTCTCAAAAAATAACAATAATTACAGGATCTTCCATATTTTGGATTGCTGGCACCTAGAAAGTAGTCTGACGTAAAATAAAACGCGCCACTAACCCATGTAGCACAGGGACTAAGTTCCCTCTCTATTTCCTCCCGTGGGTCTCTGTTTAAGATGGAGACACTGAAGAGCTCTCCCTGTTCTTTGTTCAGCCATTCCTAACTATTCAGTTTCCCAAATGTGTCACGCATTCCCGCACCTCGGATCCTGAATAAAGTCCTCTGCCCTTGGAATGTGCTTGCCTGCCAGCCTCCCCTCCCGGTTGGTTCTCCTAATCCAAATTTACTCCTCCCTCCTCCCCTCCACCCCACCCCACCCCCACCCCGTGCGTCATTTACGGACTCTGACACAAGATTTAGTGCGCTGCACCCTATGAACTGGCACGCGCAGCCCTTCTCAGTGGCGCGGGAGCTCTTTTGTGCAGCTTGACTTCACACATCTGACACCAGGCAACTTCTTGGCACCTGGTTGCAGACCATACCCCAGCCTCTGCCACAGCTTGTAAATCAGTACGGCTGGAGTGTGGCCCGAGATTCCCGGAGTCATAACAAACTCTCCAAGTGATTCCAAAATCATACGGCGCTTCCAGGCAGGGTGATGCGCCAGTAACTAGATCTCATCTCCTGTCTGAGTCTTCATTTACTGCAGACAAAGTAAATGAAACAAGAAGGACTTCGAAGACGCGGCAATGGTAACGCTGACAGATGAGAAGGTACACACGAGCCCACGATTGCTTTAGAATGTGGCGTGGAAAGCATTCTCTGGCTGTACTCAGAGACAGGAGCCACCCAGAGCACAGCAGTCTGTCTGCGCAGGAGTCCAGGAAGGATGATGTGGCTTTGGTGTACAGGGAAGGTAGGGAGAGCAGCACCCCAAGCTGCAGACAGTCCCCGAGTCTACAGATGTGGACAATCAACATGTTCGCACAGACAAATCCCCCAGGGCTTCACAACCCCCTGGAACTACTGAGAGGAGCATTCACTAGAGCTCGTGGAGCCAGGAGGAATGCCAATTTTAGAAATAGAACGAACACTCAAGAGTTTCTCCTCAGTGAAATGCTGGCTGCACAATGCCCCGTTGCCCATGTAGTAGACAGGTATGGTGGTGCACACCAGAAGTCTCAGAGCTGAAGAGGGCAGGGTTTGGGAACCAGCTAGTGTAGCTGAGTCAGTTAGTTCCCAGTGCAGGGAGAGACTCTGCCTCAAAAAATATGGAAAAAGTTACTGAGGAAGACACTACAATATTTGGCCTCCATACCCATGTAAGGAGAACATTTATATGCTGGTAAAATTTGAACACTGGACTGGGGAGATGGTTTACTAGGTAAAAGGACTTGGCAATACAAGCATAAGGACCAGGGTTCAAATCCCTAGAACCCAGATGAAATCCTGACATGTAGCAGAAGCGTCTGTAATTGCAGTTCTCCTATGGGGATACAGAAGACAGAGTCAAGATAGTCTCCAGACTCCTGCAGGCCAGCTAGCCTGATGTATGCCATGGAAAAATAAGAGACTCTATCTCAAAACAATGTGGTAAATGAAGACCAACACCCAAGGTTGGCTAACCTCCACGTGCACATTATGGCACACATACATCTGAATTCACACACACAAATGCATATGCACACATATGCACACACACATGTATTGTAAAACACGAAAATTATTTTAACACATTAAGAAGAAATAAGTGAGGCAAGGCATAGTGTGGTGAATACCTTAAATCTAGTACTTAGGAGGCAAAGGCAGGTAGATTTGAGTTCAAGGCCAGCCAGGGCTACATAGTAGTAAGACCCTGTCTCAGAAAACAATACAGAAGGTACAAGCTGGGTGTGGTAGCAGACAGGAGGCTGAGGGAGGAGGATCATACGTTCAAGGGCATCTTTGGCTACACAATGCTATTCATATATATGTATGTATGTATGTGTATATAATTATTATTAACCACATAAATCCAATAGTGATACCCGTGGGCATGTGGCCATCCACTGAGGCCTGGGCCATCTTACTCCAAAGGTAAGGAATTCCCCTGCCTTAGCATATCAACTGTCCTCCAATAGGGGTGGAGTTTTGGAAACAGAATAACTACTTAAGAAACTAAGAACAGAATTAGTATGTAACACAGCAATTCTATTTCTGGGTAGATTCCCACAGAATAGAAAGCAAAGACTTGAACAGAGACCTTTCAACTTCATTTTATTATATTGGGAGTGCAGGTGAGAGGCTATATCAGGAGTCAGTTCTCTGCGTCTCTGGGATCTAGGGACTGAACTCAGATGGTCATGCTTGGGCAGCAGGCACTTTTACTGGCCAAACCCTCCTAGACTTTGGACATTTTTTTTTTTTTGCAAATATATGTGTGGTGTATATGTGTGTTCACATGTGTGTGAGTGCACAGGCAAGTACATATATGTGTGTGGAGGCCTGAAGTTGACATGGACAGTCTTCTGTCTTCTTCTCTGAGACGGGGTCTCACAGTCAAACCCATAGCTCACCAATACAGTTAGTCTGGCTTGCAAACCTGACGTGAGAATTCCCCCGTCTGCCTTCTGAGCACTGGAATTACAGGTGAGTCACCAGGCCCACTTGGCATTTATGTGGGTTCTGAGACCTCAAACTCTGATCCTCAAGCTTGTGTGGTGCTGAGCCCTGCACAGCTTCAGGGAACAGACCTTACTGGGGCCATGAGGGAATGAAGCAAGGACAGACACACAGACATATACTGATATCTCCATACCAGATTTACATTACTACTAATAACTGTAGCAACAAAAACGACTTTATGGTTGGGAGTAACTACATGAGGAACTGTGTTAAAGGGTCATGGCATTAGGAAGGTTGAGAGCCACTGGACTAAAAGTTGGTCATGATGAAACACAATTATAGCCACACTCAGGAAGTAAAATCAAAAGATTGAGTTCCAGGGCAGCCTGGACTATGTAGTAAGTTACAACCTGAATTATAAAGTCTGTCTCAAAGGCATGGAGGGGAGAAATGGTAGGCAGGAGTCAGAATTATGACATCTGCTTTAGAAAAAAATGGCCAAACTTTTCAACTAAAGGGAAGAAACAAGTAGCTAAGACTAGACTCTACAGAGTGAGTTCCAGGGCAGCCAGGGCTACAAAGAGAAATCCTGTCTTGAAAAACAAAACAAAAATCCCACCACTCTAGCCAAGGCAGGTAGATCTGAGTTTGAGGCCAGTCTGATTTACATACCGGGCTCCAAGGCAGCTTAGACTACATAGTGAGACCCTGTCTTAAAACAAACATACAAACATAAACTTAAGACCCCATTAAGACACGGAGCTAATATTTTTATTTACATTTATGAGTATGACAGGGGAGTTGGTTCTCTCCATGTTGGTCAAATTCGGGTCCTTAGACTTGGCAGCAAGTGTGCCTTTACCTGCTGAGCCACCTCAGTGGCTATTTATATTTTTAATTTAAAGAATCTAGACACAAAAGAGAGGTTGAAAGTGAAAGGACAGAAAAGCATATAGGAGTAACAAGGAAGCTGTGTAGTGGGAATAGTTCTACCAGACAAGTAGACTTCAAGTCAGGTACGGGGACAGAAACGCACTGCACAATGGTAACGGGGGAGCAGTTATGAGAAAGTGACAACTCTGATGTGTAGGCAGAAACTAACAGAAAAGATGAAACACGGAGAGCCACTGGGACATCTGGAGATTTCAACTCTTTTTGGTAACAGTAGATAGAAAAACCATCGTGTTTAGAAGACATGAGCAATCACCTCACATTGGCGTTCAGAGAGCTAGCCCCACCAACAGCAGAGTGCACATTCCCTTCAAGGGCTCCAGAAACATCCACGGCCATCATCACAGTCAGGCCATAAAACAAGCCTCAAAAAAATTTAAAAGGATTAAATCTGACCTTTATGGATATGAATTTTAGAGTAACAAGATATTGGAAAATTCTCAAAATACTTAGAAATTAAATATACTTTCGTGTGATTCATTATTCAAAGAATAATAAAAAAAAACCAGCAAAATCAGAAAGTTATAAACTGAATGGTAATGAAAACATGTATAGGAGCGATGCATTCCAGTACAGGTTTGATGGTGCAGACTTTTAATCCAGCACTCAGGCAGATGCAGGAAGATCAAAGTTCAAAGTCAGCCTGGTTTATGAGCCCATCTCAAAACAAATGAACAACAACTACCTTCCCCAAAGTGAAGAAAACCTAAATGTGTCCAGACATGGTTTAACAATTGTGATGGTTTGAGTGAGAATGTCCCCCATAGGCTCATATATTTGAATACCTGGTCCCCAGTTGATGGAAATGTTTGGGAAGGATTAGGGGTGGCCTAGTTGGAGGGCTTGTGTCACTGGGAGCAGGCTATGGGATTTCAGTTCAAGCCACTCCCAGTGTGCCTTGTGCTTGCGGACCAAGATGTAAGCTCTGTTACTGGTCCAGCACCACGCCTACCTGCCTGATGCCATGCTCCCCATCACGACGACAATGGACCCACTCTCTGGAACTGTGAGTCCCCAATAAACTCTTGGTCTTGGTGTCTTAGCACAGCAATAGAAAAGTAACTAAGGCAAGATCTCATTGGGATACAACAGAGCAGAATACAGGTCCCAGTCTTACCTTTCTCTGTACTGACAACCTGTTTTTAATAGAAATTTTATAGCGGAGAAGTCCATCCTCTGAAAGGAATTTCTTATCAAGTTTACTCATCAATTAGTTGATTACTTTTGAATGTGATAACAGGAGGACTCAGCATAGTGCCTGGTGCACAGTATATACTGGCCAGATTTCAATAAAATTATCTTTCACTTTAGCCTTGGTATGGGGGAAGATCTATTTTCTGCTTTACTAAATCTGAATTTGCAAAAGCAAATCTCAAGTAGAAAACTTTCCAGAATGATGCCAAATGTATAGATTGTACTGGCTGCAAATCATCCTGAGGTAAATTTACAGAAACTATACAAGCTGCACATCCAAGGTAATGAATTCAAATTAGAAGGAATGTATAAATGTTACCAAACGCCTATTTGGCAAAAAGAGGTCCAAGATCCACATGGCTTTTCACCATTCTTGAGACCATGTCAAGTAGCTCTCTCCTCCGTTTTACTGGAAGTGGTGTGACCTCCGTGGTTGCGCCTTCCTCAGAAGGAAAAAGTGGAGACAAGACTTCTCTCAAGATCAATCAAGAGCATCTCATAAACCTCACATTAGAATGTTGCTTCCGCTTGAACTGCCATTTCCATCACACCAGCAGAATGAGACCCAGTGGGAACTGGTACAGACGTCCTTATTGGTTTAGCTCCACAAATCTCCTATGGCAACGTCATGCTGGGCTCCACACCAGGAAAGCAACACCATTTTAAGGCTAGATTAGGAGAGAGGAAAGGCATTGCTCGTAGTTATCAAGAACAAGGCAGCACTGAAGAGCCTAGAGTTCTCCATGTTTGTAGGCACAGATGCTCCAGCCCTGAACTAGTCAGTGGTCCTCAGTTCTTCGTACAAACTGCATCAAAACCGCAATTGCTGTTATCTGACATACAGGGGCATTATATCACACAAAGCACAACCATTGTCATTATTTCTTGGTGTGAAGAAATGACAGTTCCATTTTTTCACTGATTTTTCCATTGTTTTATTATAAAAATCAACATTTCATTTGTTACAGTTCAGCTTATTGTAATAATCAAAAGGGGGTTTATACAAGGTACCTTTATACAATTTATAATTAAAGCACTTATTTTACAAAAAGGGGGAAGTGAATAAGTGGACAAGGGCTGACCAAATGTTGGCCATTATAATATAAATACATCCTTGCAAAGCACCATCGTACCAAAGTCGATGTACAAGAAACACCAGCTGACTTTAAGACAGTGACAAAGATTAAAGCTTAAGAAAAAGTTTAGACTCATAAAAGACAAACATCCGAAAGCAGCACCAGATATCCTTCACTTGCGACGAGGCCAGTCCAGTTCAGCCCTCGTATCCTCTCTCCTTTCCCCAGCCTCCCCTCAGCAGACTCTGATGGAGTCCTTCTCCTTGCTTTCCTTTCCTCCTCCTCCTCATATTCAGGCACTGATACAGATACATCTCCACACGGTGTATAGCTATACCACCCCCTCAACTTTCCCACAGTTAATGGATAAACAAAGCCCAAATGGACAGTTAAGCAAAAGCATGCTGTCTGTAACTCTTTGGTGTTGACTTTGGGCAAATGCTAAGTGATGATGGAAAACCCAATGATTAGTATATGTTGGGTCCATACTCTGCTTCTGAGTATAATAAATCAGTCTGTAATTCTAAAAATTCCCTAGGAATAATATTAAGAATGGTTTGTAAATGCCTGTGAAAATGAGAAATCAAAAAATGCTAGTGCCCCCTTCTGTTGCAGGAGGGTGAGGACAGAGTTGGTAATTCGATTACAAGTCACTAAGATAGCCCTGAGCATCCCTCCCCCTCCACTCGGGTGTGAGCTGAGTTCAATGAGCTGTGCAGTCAGAGAACTGTACTGAAATACGGATCCACAATGCGTGTCACTTAAGTCACAAATGTGAAATTCCGTATTTGAGGCCCAACATCCTTGACTTTAAAACCTGAGGATTTCAAAAGTCAAATCTTGACACTTAGAAAGAAATGCCATACCAGAAGTCCTAAAATCTCACCTCTTCTCATGCCTGTCTTAGGCCTGGGATAAGGAAACCCCAGGAAATTTCGAGGGATTTCTGACATGCTTGGTTAACTTGTTTGGGACTCAGTCCACACCCACACTTGTGCATGACTCTCATCTGGGGATTCTTAAATAGTGCCAACCAACGGACACCCATACCCCAATCTACAGTCTAATTCTGAGTAAGAGATCAGTTCCTAATTCTCTCTATAAAGTCACAAGGGCTACACAGAAGCACTGCACAGTCAATAAAAGCAGGGCATATCAGAGGGTGAACACAACAAGACTTTTGTTTCTGAAGCTTTCAGGTTTACTTACAGAAAGCCATCCTGGTCACTAAACACAAAGACTTAACCAATTGGTGAGGTAAGCACAGCTATGAACTCAGAACAGTGTTCACTGATGGGCCTTTACAGTGAGACAAATATGCCCCCCCAAGACTGTTACCTAAGATAGATGGCTATTTTTACAACTTGGTGTGCACTGCCAAAAGCACTGTAAAATCTTAAAAGAAAAATCCTAGTAATATTCTACCCACCAACTCTATTTTAAACTTTTTCTGTGACTGTGCCATTTACCTGACCCAAAACAGAACTTTCGGGCCTTGGTTAGAAGACTAGGACTCTAAGTCAAGTTTGAGTCCTAGTTATAAAAGACTTCAATACAGAAAAGTTTGCTGCAGCGTACAAAAGCAAGCTACACCAAAGCTTACCTCACACACTCTCCTATAGGCATACTTTAAGATACAAGTTCAAAATAAATATCCATGTAACTCTGGAACCTAATCAAATTTTATTCAAGTTTCCTCTTAAATAATCAACCTAGACACATCCTAATTTAAAAATTCCTCCCTTTCCCAATTTGTGTTCTCGTAAATTTTTTTTCGCCTTGTTTTTCTTATGTTCAATAACCAAGACACAGTTTACTTAAACTTAACTGTCCATGCAACTTGAGCATCATTATCTTTCCCAAGTTTAACAACCATCTCACTAAAAAGTACTCTCAGAAATACTCAGCTGCCCCAGAAAGAGGATACTGAGATTAACCTGAACTGCCTTCGAATCATTTCAACAAATTGGCACACAAATCAGTATTTTGCAAGAAGAGGCCATTGCCATCGCAGCACAAGCACTTGGACTGAGACGCAACAAGGCAGCATCCTTCTTAGCTCACTATAGTGCAAGTCTCTACATGGGAAGCCCACCAGATAAAGATGCACATTAAAAATGTAAACATATAGAATTCTCAAATTCTAACTGATACCCAGTTATTGCTAACCTTTCCATCTTCACTTAAGCATCAAGCGCCCCTGTGTATCACAGAAGGCAAGTTCGATGTCCATTCTGTCTTAGACTCTGAGCACTTTGTTTCAGTAACAGGAAGAGTTAATGATTATCTGACTGAAAAGCAAGACACGGATGGATTGCCATTTACTTATATGCAAGATAAGTGGCCCTGATTTTGATTAAGCTGTACCCAACAACACAGCATTATCTTAAAAGGTTTGTTTTTCTCTTTTAAAATGTACTTATGTGTATTTTAAAAGTTATTTAAACTCCACCAAAATTCTGGAATCATTTCCTCCATTGTTTTTGCTTAAGCTCTAAAATCTGGAGAAGCCTCACATCAATATATAATTTAAAATATATTCAATAAGTAATTAACACCTGCTAAGGTAAAAGCACACTAGCTTAAAAACAGCTCAACTTTAGCAGAGGAGAGCTAGACACATGGAAGAAGCAGGAGACTAACCCTGGCACAGAGGCAGAGCAGGGTGAACTAAGGTCATCCCACAGGTCAGCCCTGACAGCGGCAGAGGTAGCAGCTCAGGCTGTCATGATGGCAGGTCAGACATGTTACAGAAGAGACTTCCCTTAGTCCCCACCACTCAAGTTCCTGCAGCTGAGAAGTTCAGTGAGTCTTCTCATTTAATCTCCACTGTTACGTTTGTGAAACTATCTTAATCCATAATGGGATAACAGAGAACACACATAGAAACACAGGCGACTGTAAGAACAGACTGCGGGTTATGTGAAAACAAATACATTCACAGTGCATACATAACAAGAAGGTACCTCACACCACACTAACAGAGGTATGCCTGTAGACGTCACTCTGAAAAAAGCTGGTCCACAGAAAGTGAAAATGTCACAAACAGTTAATATAGGGGAAACCTAATAACAAAAAAACCCTTCTTTTTAAATAGACTGTTTCTAACCAGAGCACATTTCAATGTTTAGTCAAAAAACATACATAAAATGATCTCACACTGTAATATTGTATGTTGCAAGGATACAAAACTAATTAACAAAAATATAACAGCTAGATTTGTGATTTTTAAGCATTGTCTATATGTGTTGTAAAAAGACACTTTAATGAGCATTAAAACAATCATGGAAGACCAATAATATGGCTAACTTCTGATTATGCAAAAACAGCCTACAACTTAAAAGCTCAGCCAAATGGTGAACAAGCATAGTAGATACACCGAATCATCAATCCCTTGTTGAGTAAATTCCATTTAGTCAATTCCTCAGATTAAAATTCTTGACTAAATCATGGCTCTTGGCAGAACGTCCTACAAGTTGCTGGGGAGGCAGCAAGGTGAAAGCAGCCAATGTTACCAAGAACTGGGACAGAGGTGTGGGCTCTCACCAGCTGCACAGCATCCTGCAACAGCAACACTCAAAATGGATTGTACAAATATCTATTTTCCTTAAGAAAACTGTTGGATTCCTAGAGAAAACAAAGCCCTTTGTCCAAAGTTAGTACTGTAATTTTTTTTTTCTTTTATGGTTTCTTAACTCGTTGGCCCTCAAATGTTAGTTAATTTGAAGGCGATTTGGCTACTTCCAAGTTTGCCACTCTTGAGATGGAATTTCTTCTTTTTCTTTAGTTTTTGGTATCATTAAAACCCAGACTTCCGGGCAGCGATGTCTCTGTTGTCCCTGTTTCCTTTGTGCTCAGTCACTTCACTGGGTTTAAGGCATGCTTTGTGTATTTAGTTTGCAAAAATAAAACCTTTAGTACAAACTTATATTTTATACAAACTTTTATGGCACAAGCAGCAAATCTGCTCTTTTAAGAAAATATATAAATATCCTTTTCTTCTGTACAAATATCTCCAGTACCCCACCCCCTTTATAATGTTAACTGTACAGTCTGCCTCACTCTTCTTTACAGCTCCCTCCCCCCCTCCAGATCTCAACCAGATGTGTATTTACATTTCCCGGTGGAGGCAGTCAGAGGAGGAGGGCCCCTCCTCAGGAGGAGTCCGTGCAGGGGGAGGGCGGTGGTGGATAGAGGTGGTGGGAGTAACTCCTCTCTGTGTATGGAGAAGGGGGGCAGCTTTCATAGTTCTCCTCTGCTGACAAGTACTGGCTTCGGGGTGTGGGTGGAGGGGGCACAGGCTCTGAGTCATAGTTCAAGTCACTGGTGTAGCCCTTGGCTGTTGCCACTGAGGTCATTCTCCGGCTAGGAGCATAGTCACTGTCACAGACGTCAGTGCTGCAGGGTGTCGTGGGCGGGGCAAAGTGCCGGTAGCTGTAAGGCCTGTAGCTAGTACATGGAAGAAATAAAGAGAAGCATAGTTAGTTTTATGAAAGAATATTCTGTATCAGAAATCAGAGAAACACATAAATTCAGTCTGAAAGCTAAAAGCTGTTGCAGCTCAAGTCTGTATGGATGGGTAGCCCTTCCCTGGCATGTGCAGTGAGGCCATGGGTCTCCAGTATCACTATCCCAAATTAAGCCCACTGTGCTTTTTATTGTCACAGGGAGACCTTTGCAGTTTCTTATTTGCAAGTAAGATATAACTAGAAGCAAGTGAAAATGGATGGAGTTGGAGGGCAGAGAGGAACTCAATGGAGCCCCAAATGTGCTCTGCTACCTTGAGATGAATTTAAGTGCAAGTGGTGTACATAAGCCCTGGGTTTGACCCCAGCATCTTTATTACTGATGCACTTTGGAAAACTGTTCTAGTGTCCCCGGTGCTGGGGACTGAACCCAGGGCCTTGCCCTCACAGAGCAAATGGTCTACTGCTCACCTCCAGCCTCAGCCCACCTGTTATACACCTCACTCTCAGAGAACTCAGCAGTTCCTGCAGCTTCATAGCGTGGAAATAGGTCTTCACACAGTCTACTCTCACTCAACACTTTTTGGTCATTTCATAATTTGTCTGATAGTAGTTCTGATTTCTGCATGGTCAGATATACTGTGCTAAGTACAGTTAAAATGCCCAGAGGGCCAGTGAACTTTCTAACACAGTGTAAGAGTTTAATACATGTTTATACTTGTTTATGTACCCTTTAAATAATCTATAGTTACTCATGAAGGTAAGAGCTGACCTAAAATACTGGCTTGTCTATGTATGATTTCTACAAGTTTTTTTCTATGTATGACCAAGCTTATTTTATACTCATCCTAAAGATCCACAAATAAACTGTCTCTGAAAGTACAGTGACTGCAAGACAGGGGGCAAGATGAGAATAACTGATGGGGAATTCATAAATTTCCTAGTGACACAGCACCCACGCCTGCTATCACTCAGCTTTGCCCCACAGGCCCCACTGAACAGGTTCCTGGAACTTTTACCATCAGTGTTGGTAAAAGACAGTAAAAGACAAGACATTACCATAGCACTTTTGCTTTTTGTTTCATCTTTCTGTCCAAATAGATGACAAAGCCTGGGGAAATATTCTAGGTTAAAATTTAAAAGGCTAAAAACTTCTAATCTCATAAAGAAAAAGAAGGAAAAAAGGAAGCCAATCAACAAAATTCTGTGAAATCTCAGCTTAGGTAAAATCATGACAATTGATAAAGTTTGACATAGATTTGTAGCCTCCTTTAGACATGGGAAACGATTTAAAGCAGCTGTATACTTTGCCTGATGTTTTCTTCAAGGTGAACTAAGTACATTTTTTAAATGAAATTTTTGGTTCTGGTCTTGTTTTTCAATTTTCAGGCCTCGGCTTTTTTTTTTTTTTTTTTTTTTTTTTTTTTTTTTTTTTGTCATTTTAGAATAAAACAGTGGCATGCAAAGAAGTCTTACAATGACTCATGGAAACAATCATGTTGGAGACAACCCTATCTCTGTCTTAACTGACTTTGGTAGGTAGTTTCCATTTTATTTCCATCACTACAAAGTGACGCCAGGCCAGAGTGACGGAAAGGAAATGTTATCCAAATGGTAACAGGCACTGGGGACCACAGTCACAGCATGCAGGTTTCAGACAGAATACAGACTTTCTGCTGGTGTCTGAACAGGATGGAAGAGTAAGGTACACACACAATAACAGACCTACCCAACACACTCACAATGAGCACGGAGGCATCATGCCCCGTATGACGACTTGTTTATTCCATGCAACTAACTACATGGAAAATCTTTCATTCCAGGTCACAGTGACACATGTAATGTGGGTCAACCTCCTTCTGAGTTTTTCAGAGTCTATGACCCACTCTCCTGTTGCCTGCAAGCTCTTACAACTCTGACCTGTCTCGCCCAGTCCTCAACTGCATTACTCTAAAAGTCAGCTGTGTGGCCGGGCAGTAGTGGCACACGCCTTTAATCCCAGCACTGGGGAGGCAGAGGCAGGCGGATCTCTGTGAGTTCGAGGTCAGCCTGGTCTCCAGAGTGAGTGCCAGGATAGGCTCCAAAGCTACACAGAGAAACCCTGTCTTGAAAAACCAAAAGTCAGCTATGTAACTCTCTTTTAAAGTATAAAATGAAAAAGAAAAGATTTGGGGGTGGACAATGTCAATCAAGTCTTGCCAAGACAAGAATCCTACTCTTTGTTTGGTGATTATGGGCTGTTCATTTGAGGCTTAGGATATTCACAAATGGAATATGGAAAAAAAGTATGTCAGTGAGATATCCACCCCACCCACGCCTGTAGCACTGACCACACCCAAACAGGCGTGGTCACAGGTGTGGGCTTGATGGAGGGTAGGACTAGGTCTGGGGTCCTGGACCCCAGTGCTCTCTCTTGCTTCCAGTTGGGTCACAGAGGGCAGCCTGGGAGGATCCTTGGAACTGGAACTTGCGCTGGTCACCAGCGTCTTGTGTAAGTGCATTCTCCCTGAATAGACTTCACTTCACCTGCACTGAGTCTAGTGGATCTCGATCCCACGCGACAGTGTCTTACCTGTAGGACCTGTGTGTGGAAGGACTGTTGGAAGAATAACCAAATTCCATGGTATAATGAGAACGCTCTGTGGCAGGCGACGGTGGTGGATTCAAAATCTAAAAGGAAAACAATTAAAACATTAAACTAACAATACCTTCCCATAGACGCAGATCACCTTTACCTTCTATTTCCTCACCTGTCTATTCTTTTCCATTGCACTTTTAGCGTAGAATTCTTTTCAAAACAACTACCTAAATAGCACTTTAAGACTGGCTCCACTTTCCTAACCACAAGTTCTTTATCCTGAACAAGTGGTAAGAAAAACAAAACAAAAAGACTGTCACCTACATCACTGGCTTGTTTGGCACAGACAGTCTCTAATTTTTTAAACACAACTTTTCTATGTTTGTAGAAAATTATTAAGAGGAATTCTAATGTGCTTCCTCTTACATTTTATTTTTATATGTTTAAGTACAAGATTATGTATGCACACATGAAGCTGCAGGCCAAAGGAAACCATAATGGCAGCCTCAGGAACACTGTCCACCTCCTTTAAGAAGGCTCTCATTAGCCTGGAACTCAGGAACCAGTCTAAACTGGTGGGCCAATGCACTCCAGAGATCCTCCTCTCTGTACTTCTGCAGTGTTGGGATTATGAGCCAGGCCCAGCTTTTTATCTTGGTGCTGGGATGGAACTCAGGTCCTCTCACCCACGAGACAAGCATTTTACAGAGTGAACCATCTCCCCAGCCACATGCTTCTTCTTTTAGCAGCTTACAAAATAAAGGTCCTAAGTTTGTTTGGTACCTTAGTGGTTTATTTTTTTATTTGAATTGTGAAATTATTATTATGCTTTCAGCTACATTGATTATTACAGAGTAAACTTAAAGCTTTACAAGTACAGTGCAGTGGTGGTATATTCCCCACTGACTCCTATGTACTTCAATCTTATATTAACAACTATTTTTACATTACCATCACTGAGCACCCACGTTTAAATGAACTGATCGAACATGCTACGTATTTTAACAGTGAAAGAAAAACATAGCAAAGACAGGCTGCTTACTGCAGGGAAGTAAGTGCCTTTGGTGCTTGAAGAACTGCTTGATGATGCTCCTGTGACATGTGCTCGATCGTAGGGTGGCCCACTGCTTCCCCCCATGATACTGAGGGAACTGATCATTGATTTCCCTCGAGACATTCCTGAAGGAGATAAAAATGAAGATGAGTAGCATCTATAAAAATATATAAAATCATGAATCAACATTGAAGTTACAAGCAGCCCAACTAGAACAGCTTACGTCCTCTTTCCCTAGTAATAGCTGTAAAGAGTTAATGAAAAAATTAATGAATGTTGAAAGGAATGGTTCCATTGAGAACTGGCTTCTAATAAGTCAAGCTGCTCCCACTTGGCCTGGTCCAAGGAAACAGAGCCCTTCAGAGTGAGAGGTATTCACGGAAGACTTCTTAAAAAAAGGACTGAGGACAAAGACTGGGAACCAGGGTAGATGAAACTGACAGATGAGCTCCAAAGAAAGCAAAGCCTTTAGAAGACATGTATCAAGGCACAGGGGACACCCAGATACTTCTGGTCTTACAACTACTAATTCTAAAGAAAAAAGTCTATTTGTTCCAACTAGGTTTCCATTTCTACTCACTGGAAATAGGGACGGCAACAAGGAAGCATTGTCATTTACAAGCTTAAATATTATGGGTATTTATTCTAGTCACAACTACAGTAAATTCCAATTCTCAGAGGTTAGGCATCACCTCCATTTCATTAAAAGGCAGGATTCTTTTCACCAAAGGTACCACAAAACACTGGAAAAAGCTTTCCTGCCCAAGAGTAATATGGCCTCCCCAATGGTGGAACTCTGGCATTTGGCTACACCTTAACCAGCCTCACACCATTGTCACCATGTTAGATAAGGAGAAGGCAGAGGGAAGTTTGTTCCTTCCTTGTCAACCAACTATTTCCAAATCCTTGTTTGTGGAAAGCAAAGTCATCTATCTTTGGACTCCTTTCTTCCTAGACTCAATAGCTTCAGAGTCACCAAAGCGCTGGATGACTTGCTTTCAATACAGTGCAGCCCCACAATGCAAACAAACAGAGGCCTGAAGCAGGCATGCGAAGTCATACCTAAGTCTTTCTGCATAGAAAGACAATGTAAAAGTTTAAAAAACAATTGCCTCTCAGAAGTTCTTAAACCCAAAATAATCTAGTTTGTAATCCTAGGTATGTCCTTTTTCCACAAGAGACATGCAATTATATTTTAAGAACTTAAAACTGGGCAGGACCAGATTGTCACAAGCCAGTCTTTACATACCTGGAAGAGATCCCGACAGAGAGCTTGGGTGAGGAACGTAACCCAGGGGCACAGAAGCTGGGCCGTGAACCACATAGTCGTTTGTCATAGCCTCTCCATCTCCCTTCATACGAGGACACAGCATCCTTTGGCAGATGAAGTATATGGTTCCAGACACAAATATGGTAACAATTACTCCAATAACTGAACCAACTGTGTTGGTGGCTTGTGGTGCCGGCTCTTCAGTTGGATCTAAAATGGAAAATACTATAGTTATCTAATGGAAAAACAACGGCACATTCAAAATAGCAATAAAAGAATGCAAAAATAAAAACAGTATGTTGATAAATCAAATTATATAGTTTATATAAATATATTAATGGGGGATGTCCTTTTGTATGCTGTGAATATGTTTCTCTTATTGGTTTAATAAAACACTGAATGGCCAGTAGCCAGGCAGAAAGTATAGACAGAGCTACCAGACTAGTAGAATTCTGGAAAAGGCAGAGAGTGGGTTGTAAGAAAAGAAGTCAAGTAGCTGCTGAGGAAGAAAGAGGTGCAGACATTCTCCAGTAAGCCAAGACCACTTGGAGATATATAGATTAATAGAAATGGGTTAATAATTAAGAGAGAGCTAGCAAATAAGAAGCCTGAGCCGTAGGCCAAACAGTTTATAATTAATACAAGCTTCTGTGTGTTTACTTGAAACTAAAGGGCTGCAGGACCAGGTGGGACAAAAACTTGTCAAATATATATATATATATATATCATAAAAATATGAATTAATGGCATCATTTAATTTAAATAAATTTAAAGAAGCTGCTGCTAAGTAAAGATAAGGCAACAGACCTGGAAGTATCATTGTAAATTTCAGGCCAGAAGAGACATACCCAGAGAAGTCACCAAAAGTTCTCCATGGAATGGTGAAGAGGCCAAAAAGCAGCCTAGAACTAGTGCCATTTAGGTCTAGTGAAGGAGTCTATAAACAGCAGATGAGTCAAGGCACTTAGTTAGCTCCAACTTCTACTGTTCTTGGGCCTCTGGCTGCCTGAGAGCAAGGACACACAGGTCTCTAACTTGATTACTAGAGGGCTCCCAGAGAAAGGCCAGGGCACTGTGAAGGACCCTGCCCAGAACACCCATCTTCCTGGACTCCTGGCTACTTGAGTCTTTAAGAAGCAGAAGGCATGAATGGGAAGGGAGCTCTTAGGGCCCATAAAGAGAGGTCCATTTCATCTTGCCTCAAGATCAGAGAGTTCAAAACTGTCCTTAGACCTGTAAGTCTAAAGCTTGGCTGCAGGATGTTTTGGCCTTGGTAATGGATGTCTTTAAGTAACAACAGACTTGGGCTCAGGTGTGTTTACTCTTGACCCTGAAGGCTGGATGGCAGGTGTGGCTACCAAATACCTGGGGGATTAAGGGAAGTCAGTCTGTTTGCCCCTTATATATGATGATAGAAGTCTTCTGCCATTCTTGGTTGGGTACTTAAGAATGTTGAAGAATAAACTCAGGGCGTTCAGTATGGACTGGATTTTGCCCTCCCGACACTATCCCATGTCTCCGTCTTTTCTCTTAATGTCTTTAGTTAGCCTTTCTCAATCCACACTCTCCATCTCAGGTACGAACTGTGGGCAGGTCGGCTGGTTCTGACTAGAGCCCCACAAACACAGCCTCCCACAAAGAACAAGAAGTGGGTTATCAAATTTATCACCCACTCTATTATTCGAAGGAAAATCCTTCCATTCTGACTGGTTATGTTATAATAAAGCACATGGGGGACTTTGGCGGATTCCATGTTGGGCACGAGGGTGACCGAGGCGGGGGACAAACACGCCAGGCAGACAGGGCTTAGTGAGAAGTTTTATTAGAAAGGGGAGGGGGAAGGAAAGAGAAAAGAGGTAAAGAGACAGAGAGACACAGAGGGAGGGCAGAAGAGAAGAGCGAGACAGGAAAAGTCCTGCCTGCCCCAGGAGAATAGTGGGAAAGAGAGCAAAGTAGGAGCAAAGACGAAACTCACATGGAATGAGTTTTGTGAAGTCTACAATGTAGTACTGTCACTGCTGGAGAGTGAGTTTTGAGAATTCCATGATTGGGAGTGCTGGAGAAGTGACTGGGAGCTTCTTCTCAGAAGTTCTAGTATGTGAGTGTTATGGAACTGACAAGGATTGACTTCTGTGAATTTTTTGCATGTGATTGCTGTGGCAGCACAGGCGAGCATGTTTTATGAAGTTTGTGAATGTAAGTCCTTTGCCACTGCCATGGAGTTAGGGTACATACACCTGCCATGTGCAGATGGGTAAGAGGCAGGGCCAGATTTGCCTGGGTTACAAGTAAACCCACAGGTAATCTCAAAGAGCCCTTAAAATACTTTCTACTTCTTGTTATTCAAATCTCCCATCCATGTAGGTAAACTCATCTCTAACAGAAAAATAAATGAGTGACAATGACAGCACTAAGATGCCTTATTGTAGCCATCAGCTCCAAATGCAGTGTGTGGAATCTGAAGCATACACTCTTTAGTTCCTGTGAGCTACATTACTTTGTATTCTCTTCTAGGGTCTTGGTATTCCTTTCCAATGCCAAAATTCAAGAAAGAATAATCCTTTCTTGACATTCCTGCCCCACATTGCTGGTTTCTGGGCTGCACTGCTCATGTAAGGCTTCCCCCATCACCACTGCAGAGAAATGGCCTGGCAAAGGCTAGAGCTCTCCCATTTGCCAATTTCAAGAGACTCTTCATCTCACATACCTCTCTACATGGTCAATAGAGTGGGTTCCTATTTTCTTTTAAACAGTTATCTGCTCACTATGGAAGACACCACTTTCCTAGTTTTATTATTTGTTTGTTTTTTGACACCGGGTATCACCTAGTCTAGACTGGCTTCAATCCTGCTTTGTAGCTGAGGCTGAGCCTTAAGTCTTGACCTTCCCCTGCCTTCTGAGTGCTGGGATCTTGAGTGTGCTCAACCATGCTCCACCCTATTTACTATTATCCCTGCTGTCAATCAATTATACGTGCTTCCCCAAGTTATTACTATCTGCTTGCTTCCTCCTCTACTCTCTGGAGATTTTATCTATTCCCACAGCTTTAATTACCATCAATAATCTAAACAGTGCCAAATACCTTCTTCCCGAGTCACAGACCTATTCAATCAACTTCCTAACAGTATTAAAGGAACAGCCCATAATTACCTTTAATGTAACATATCCCAAACTGAACTCACCCTTATTACCACTTCTCCCAGATCCAGAGGTAAAATGCATAATAAATGGGGTAGACCAATTAAGAACAAGAAAGACTGGCATGACCATGGCAAGCATTAAAGTGCATGCCTGTGAGAGCCACTTAAATTTAAAACAAAGACATCAAACAGCACTGCATTAACCAAGCATTACACTCATACCAGGACACATTACGGTACTACAGTGTTTAGTTCCTGCTGCATCTCCTGGTCAAGGACTCCAGTCACACTGTGAGGTACCCGTGAGCCAACTCAAAATTGCTAACTGTAAGTGGCTACCAACCCTTCTGTCCCTACAGTCACTGTTCCTCTTGATTTTGATCATCTTCAGTCAGAACACAACACCTCCTGAGCATTTTTAATTACAGACTGCAAAGCACTAGTAGACAGGGAAACAATCTACTGGGTTGCAACCAGCATTTAAAATAAAGGACACAGAAAACTCAAGATGTCATCTACTTCCTGTGCATAAAAGTGATCGCGTGACCCGTGTCCCTCCACATAGGCATCTCATCTTTATACTTCCCTGACGTGAGCCAAAGAAACTGGAAAACAAACAGCCTAATTAACACATTTGCCTGCTACAATCAGCTACAATCACATCACCTCCAACACATTGTACAGCTTTGGCTCTCATGTTCCCACCCTAGCCTTTTCTTAGAAACATCAGTGATTCTGAACCGTGAGTGAAGTGTCACCTTAGTGATTTACGTATGCCACTATTCTCTCTTGGTGACACACACAAGACACAGCTAATGCAGCAATCCCATTTATACAGTTCCAGAAAGATGACTTTGGTTTCACCCTTCCTGGCTCTAAACATAATGTAGCATCTCTTTTTATCTGTACAGAACGAACATTTTCATTCATCAACATCTGATCTTGAGCATCATTTTTCTAGGAAGCTCCTTTGATCTACTCCATCTTCATTCCTGAAAAGTTGGTTGCCTCCTCCTTTGTGCTACCACTCACTCCTGTGGCTCTGTTACAGATCTGCACTAGTGAGTTCAAGACCAGTCTGGGGAAGCAGGGGGGACAGATCAGAGGGAACCAAGGAAGAGAGGCAGGCAAGCAGCCATGGAAGCAATGAGGAAGAAATGATGGCAAGAGAGGAGGAGGAAAAAAGCATTTAAATTATAGACCCCAAAAAGCTGGTAGAAACCCTTCAAGAAAACAGTTCAATACAAACTGATGTTCAGAAAGAAGTTCAGATTAGCAATTAATTTCCTGAGAATTTTGTGACTTTAGATGTGGCAGGGCAATGTTTATTCTTTTTCTAGTGTTTTACTATCTCTGTGCACAAACAAACCATTGTCTTTAAACAATCACTAAAAGCAAAACAGAAAATAACTGAGGGAAATAACTAGTATTTGTGTTCTACACAAGGAAATCTGGATTGTAAGTAAAATACAAAAAGAAAAGGAAAAGGTATTTTTTAAAATTCTCCCTTGAGAACAATTTGCAAGGCTTCCTTCCTACTTACAACAGTCCAGTTCATCAGATTTGTCACTGCAGTCCACATTGTGGTCGCATTTCTTGTGCTTTCCAACACACTGACCATTGGCACAGCGGAACTGATCAATTAAACAAAGCACTAGAAAAAAGACACAATTTTATTCTTATTACAGCATGAAGACAAATTCTATCGAGAGTCAAATGCCTTCTAAGTACAATCTAAAAACAGATCAGGTTTAGACACAAAGCACGCTCCATTCTCTAAGGACTCATTGCTTTTAACACTTCATTTTACTTAATTTTTGGTGCCCTTTCTCAATCTTCAGAGATTGGTGTGGTTTATAAGGTTCCCACAAAGGTTCACATGTTGGAGGTCTAACCCTGAGTGTAGAGGGATCCAATGGAGGTAGAGGGGGCCCAGAGGGAGGTACCTGGACCTCTTTCTCTGATGTACCCAGGGTTAGCTCTTGAGAAAAACTTTGTTGCTATAAAAGAACAAGCCTAGGGCTGTAGAGATGGCTCAATTGTCAAGAGCATGGGCAGCTCTTCCAGAGGACCCTCAGTTCAATTCTCAGCAGCCACAAGCAGGCTCACAGCCATCTATAACTCTAATCCCAAGGGGTCTGCCACCCTCTTCTGGCCTCCTCAGGGATTGGGCTCACAGACACACATGCAGGCAAAATACCCACACATTTTTAAAAGAACAAGAAGCCGGCACATCCTCTTGCTCTGGCTTTCTACTGAGATGCGCTCACAATCTCCCAAGTGCTCCTGCCACTGTGCTGTCATCTGCCACAGGGTTTCCACGAGGGCACAACTAAGCAGCACATGACCTGGTAGCAGGCTTTCTCGGACCATCAGCCCCAAAATCATGACACGAAGACTTATTATCAATTATGAATGCTCGGCCTTAGTTTAGGTTTGTTTCCGGACAGCTTTTTAAACTTAAATTAACCTGTTTCTCTTCATCTATATTTTGCTGGGGGGCTTTTTTACCCTTCTTTCATTCTGTATGTCCTACTCCAAGTCTGGCTGGCTCTGGGAGCCACCCTCTCTTTTTCCCTCATTCTCCCCACTCTCCCTCTCTTCCTAAGCCTAGATTCCTCCTCCTACTTAATTCTCTCACCTGCCAGCCCCACCTATCCCTCTATGCCTAGTTATTAGCCATTCAGTTTTTTATTAGCCCAATCAGGTTCCTTAGGCAGCTAAAGCAATATACCTTTACATCATTAAATAAATGCAGCATAAACAAACGTAACACATCTTTACATAGGTAAAGTAATTATTCCACAGCATGCCCTTGACACTGCAGAACTGTGATCTACACAATCCTTTTCTTTATAAAAATGCCCACTGGGGTGGTTTGAATGAGCAATCTCCATCACAGGCTCACACAGTTAGACACTTGGTCCTCAGTGAGGGAGCTGATTGAGAGATTATGGGGAGTTGAAGCTTTGCTGGAGGAGGTATAGCACTGGGGATGGGCTTTCTGAGTTTAGTCTCATCCACTTCCAGTCGACTCCCTCTGTTTGGTTTCCTGACGTTGAAAATGTGATCTTCTAGCATCCCTGCCCTCACAGATTCTCCCTCTGGAACCTTAAGCCAAAATGAATTCCTTATTCTTTAAGATTCCCTTGGTCATGCTGTTTTATCACAGTCACAAAAAAGTTAAAAAAGACATTCACCACCAGGGCATTTCAATAAAGTAACAAAATGAGCACATTAACTTGCTGAGACCTTACACATATGAAATGGTTCAAATAATTAGCAACATGTATAATGTTCATGCCATAAATATAAAACCCAAATCCACTGAATTTCAAATAACTGGATGCAAAGAAACTATAAACCAAGCACTGAGATTCTTGACACCTTCACAGTTGTTCTCGTCTGATTTATCCTGGCAGTTGGCATCACCATTGCATCGCAGGGCACCATCGATACACTGCCCACTGGCACACTGGAACTGAGACTCTAAGCATACAGGACAGTTGAGTTCATCACTGTGGTCTTCACATTCAGTAAACCCATCACACCGCCAGGCCACAGGGATACAGTCAATGTCCCCGGTGAAACAAGTGAACTGCTGAGGAGAACATGTTGGAGGTTCTTCAAATGAACAAAGGGAGGGAATGACAAAAAGAACAGTGGTCACACAAAGGTAGGAAGATTTATAGCCAAGTGGAGCTCATTAAAAACAAATATACAGCATTTTACAATAAGAGGATTTGTAACTTATTTTTTCCCTAGCTCTGAGGTAGTGGACAGCAGTGAGTTTACTTCAGATTATTCATCACAACTGGCTATTGTTATTGGTTTAGATGCTTCTAAGGAAAAACATGTTTCTGTCATATGCAGCTTGTTTAATACATGGTGGCTTGCCTGCCATGTGTGGTCTTGTCCTTGTAACTGTATGTTTTAGTAATTTGACTCCTATTAACCCTTTGAGTATAAATTGTCTGATGCTCTGAATAAAGTAGGCTATTGCATGAGACTTTAGTCCTCCTCATTTATTAGCTCGATAATCTCAGGTTCCATCGACAGTCAGAGCAGTAAACAGGTGATAATTGTAAAGTGGCAGTTACACTGTTCACACTTGCACAGAAGGAGGAACTGCATGAAAAGCTTCAGGGACCTTAGTAGACTGCAGCTGTACCACATTAGTGGGAGGCCCTGTATGCCACACAGGCACGAACCCACAGCTTAGTCAATAAAAACAGCCAGTTATTCTTAGGGATACTTATGATGGGAGCTGTTCTCCACAGCACATCCCTGTGATCTCAGCACTTTGGAGGTACAGGAAAGGCAACTATGAGTTAAAGGTCATCCTTGGCCACATAGTGAATTGGAGAGCCGCCCAGACTACATGAGATCCTGTCTTTTAAGAAACAAAAAGTTCATGATAAGTCAGTAAGAAAAATGTTAATGGTTAAAAATCAAGTCTTGAGTTCATTATTGTTTAAAAGGTGGAGGTATACATTAAGTTGACATTGCACATCTAACCAGGATGGTTTTTAATAGGCAAACAGCTGCTCACCTTGTAAGCATAAGTCAAAACACAGTACTGTTTTTATCTGAAAGAATGACTTACATGGAAATTGATTGCACTTATATTCAGGGATTTGGCAGGAATTAAAAAACTTAATGTGCCTATTACTAAATAAATAAATGAAACCAAGCAAAGATAATGGCTGGTTTTGTAGCTAATTGTAAAACTGGAACTTGGGGTCAGAGACTGGAGTTTGGGAAATCTGAATGTACTCAACATGGAACATCTATAGTTCAGCAGTACTCTCAGGTTTTCTCATGAGGTGGCGTCAGCATTAACAAGTGTGAGCTTTTGATACTGAATCATGGAACAGGTCAGAATCTGAAGATCTAAGATTTCTTTTTCTTTTCTATGCATGAGTTAGTGCCTGCCAGTATGTATGTGCACAATGTCCTGAAGGCCATGGAAGCCAGCAGAGGGCATCAGCTCCCGAGGAACCAGAGTTACAGATGGCTGTGAGCTAGCATAGGGGGCTAGAAACCAAATCTGGGTTCTCTGAAAGATCAGCAAGTACACAGAACTCTCTCTCCAAGCCCCTGTAGAGACTCATGAATAGAATTCTATTATAGTTCTGAAACTATAAAATGCCATATAAAATCCACATAAAAGAAACCGACTGGTTCTGCTGAGCATGGTGCTGTCTATAAAAAAATTTTGGCAATTGGGAGACTGAAGATCTCAAGTTTAAGAGTCAAATGGAGGGCATACAGAGATAACAGTAACAACAATAACAGTAACAAAAATCAACTTCAAGGGAAGGGCAGAGCTAGGGGATTGAGGCAAGGTCTCATTCTGCAGCCCAAGCTTGCTCAAACTCACAGTAATCCTAGCTCAGCCTGCTAAATTCAGGGATTACAGGCACAATCCACCACACGTAGCTTTCTTTTCTTTACCTCCCCCCTCCACTTTCCTCTTGTGTATGCATATGTACATATGTATGCACAGGTGTCTGTACATGTGTATGCACAGGTCCTGGTCAGGAGGATGTTGGGTGTCCTGCTCTATTGCTCTCCACTTAAGACAGGGCCTCTCACTAAACCTGGAGCTACACTGGTGGCCAACAAGCCCCACTCATCTCCTACCTTGACACAGCACTAGGATTACATGTACACACAGCCATGTCCAACTTTTCCTTATTTTTACATGGTATTTGGAATTGTGACTAGGGTCCTCATGCTTGTGCAGCAAATGCTCTCACCAACTGAGCCATGTTCTCAGAGCACCACCGACTCCTGCTTTCTGTTTGTTTTTTTTTTTAAGAGTCAAGGTCTCATGTTTTTCTGCTGAACTCCTGAGCTCAAATAATTCACAACCATCCAGTAGCTTAAACTCACACTACAGGTACATGCCATCATATACAACAATGTGCGTACATGTGTATGTGCATGTGCGTTCGCATGCACGTGTACGCACACACATCTTTGGTAGTACTTGGGTGAAGAACCCAAGGATTTTGCATATACTAGGTGAGCATATATCACTGAGCTATATCCTTAGCTCAACACACATAATTTTAATATAATAAAGATATATAAATTAGTTATAACCAAACCTCCAAGAAACTACTGCTTGTCAAGATTTGGTGTAGACCCAAGATGAATAGTCGGATCATTTGGAGAGGCTATCATTATCATGTGTGCCTGCTCATATGGCTATATGTACCGGGAGACCAATGGTTGATGCCAGGTACTTTATTACTCTCTGAGACACGTTACCCAATGAGCTGCAAGCTCGGCTTTCTTCTGATTCCTGGGGTTGCAGATATGTACATCCACCCTGGCTTTTTATGCATGTACGGGGAATAGGAACTGCTAGTGCATAGGCACATCTCTCCAACCCCCAGAAAAGCTATTATTACAGTTCATTTTCTACCTATCTATCTATGTGAGGCCCAGTTTTCTTCATATGTCCCAACCAAAACTATGTATTACAGAAGAACAATGCAGAAGCAGTCATGAAAACTCAGCAGAATACTGAAAGGACAACACACAAATTTATAATGATGTAAAAATATAAAAGCTCTTCACAGTAAAATTTCTACCTCAAAATAATTTTACTAACATAATTCATTTATGTTATGAAAGTGATCAGAGTTTAGTATTGTTACTATTATCATGAGTTTCTCATTACCATAGCTAAGGGATGGCGATCTTAAAAGGACAAGAGTAGAACCACAGACTTTTTTGAAGCCTCATTACTTTATCGACTTGGTGTTATGCAGACCCGGCTGGTCTTGAGTTGGAGACTATCCTGCCTCACCCTTCTGAATTCTGGGATTACAGGTTTGTACCACCATGTTTAATATATCATTAAAACACATGTTAGTAAATTCTCTAAGAAATACACAAGTCTATCATACACTGACCAGAAATGCTTTATCTTTAAAACAGACTAGTACAGATTACAGGTGGACGATTTACATGCTAAATCTGAAGGATTATTTTTCTTAGCATTTATTATGTTTTCAAAAACTTACTAGATTGTGTTGAGACTTTAAAAGCATAAAATGTGTCGTATATTCTTTAAAAAAAGAAAAAACTGAATTTGGTTAAGATAGGGACAAGTACAGTCACTTATTTGTTAGCACGCATACTGACAACAAGGACAGCAATCCAAAGTAGCTACTCAAGGTCTCAAAGGGATCCCAAGTGCACTTGGTGAATAAGTAAGGAATTTATGCAAGAAGAGAAGCACGCATTTGTAATAGCACACAGAAGCAAAACAAAAGAGAACTCGCCAGAGTGGACATCAGATTCTAAAAAGTCAGATAAAACCAGAGAGCAAGTTGGGAAGAAATAGAACATAATATAGTAAGCCAAGTTCAAATGAAATCATGTTTCAAAAGCTGGACAGAAATTTAGATTTTATACTTCATTTATTTCTATTGTGGAATCAATGTAAGCTAAAGACCACATATAACATTCATGAGAGTTTCATTAAAAATTAAATATTAACAGTTCTTCACAGGAGAGTAACTACAGTATTACATAATGAACTATGACTCAGCAACAAAAAGGTGCTGAATCATTTGATAAATTATCAGATCTCAAAAATACATTATGTAAAAGAATCTAAAACCAAAACGATTAAATGCCACGATTCCACTGATAAAATTCAAGAAACTAACTCTGCAAAGAGCTGCAGTCTGAAGAGTGGGTGCTTTTACTAGAAAACCACCTACTAAGAACCCAAGGGCTCCTTCCTCATTCCCCATTTTCTCTCCCTTTCTTTTCCTTCGGTCCCTCTGCCTCCTCTTTTCTCTTCTCTCTCTTGCAGTGCATGAGTGAGACAAGTTCCCACTAAACAACCCAGGCCAGAGTCTAGGCCCAGTGCTGGGTCACAGGCATGTACCACTGTCCACAGTGCAATGTTTTCTTCTGTGACTGCTCTGGCCTCTTTCCCACCCTCCCTGTTCCTTCGTTCGTTGGTTTTTGTTGTTATTTTGAGAAAGGATTTCGCACTGTCTCCATCTCCCAAGCACACCACCTTTAAGAATACTTTCTTATATTTTGGTTGTGAGCCTAGCCTTTAATGGCAGAGCTACTTCTCCAGCCCAAGAGTACTTTCTTAACAGTAACCCTCTACATCTTGAGTCAGGTTACAGCACAACTGTACACTTTTCTAAAACTTGTTATTCTTTCTATTTACAACTTAAAATTCACTTTATTGCAAAATAAATGAATAAATAAATCCCTTTGAAAGACATCTTCTAACTGGAAGATGGGATCTGATTCAGTTTTATCTGTTATTAACACAGTGCTCTATATAGAAACACAATTTTTAAAACTGTGATAAAATATATGTAACACAATTTTACCGATTTAACCATTTAAAGTTGTCTAGTTCAACAATATTAAATGTATACATTATTGTGCAAGGTTTGATCTTTGTTTAATTAGTTCTAACAATTTTTAGATATGTCTCCCTAAGTTGTCTGAGCTGGCCTCATACTTTTATGAGCTACTCTGTGGGAATCCCAACTGCACACCTCCATGCCCAGCACTGCTTCCTCCCCTTTATGTGCGTATTACATCTCTGAAGAGGAACAACCTAGTATGCCACAGCATCAGTTTCTTCCAGAAAAGGATATTTTGATTTTTAGCCACACAACGTAGCTCTGCCTGCTCTTGAAGTAACATCATGGAATTATGGAATATTATTTGTGTGTGTGTGTATGTGAGTGTGTGTAGATCTTCCGGTGAATGAATTTAATTTATAATACTGAGATTCAATATTGTAGTCAAGTGTATCCAGAAGTGCTTCCATGTTCTCAAATTGTATGCACTACTTTGAACCTCAAGTTCTTGTAATCTAAGCAGGATACATTGCCATTGCTACTATGTCTTTAGAAGTCAGAAAGATAAAATTCATTTATAATCCTGTTTTATCACTACTTTTATATTCTGAATATATAATTTTTTAAAAATCTTGATTCATAGAAATATGTGTCTTTACAGAAGAAAAACACTTTCTAATATTAAATTGGAATGCTCAGAATGGAATCCAAGGCCTCACATGAGCTGGCAAGTACTGTGCTCTCAGCTGCACTCCTAGCAAGAAGACATCACTATAGTAAGATTTTCTGTGCCAGGTACAGTGGTGGATACTGCACCACTCCAGCCACAAAGGGAGTTGAAGTAGGAGAGCCAGTTAAGCTCGGCAGTGGAGATTACCCTGAACAACATAGTCAGATTTTATTTCACAAATGCCAGAGACTCCAAGACCTAACAGCCCCACAGTCTGGTAGGACATGGTCTTAAAATGGGAAACATTTAAGATCCAAATGAAAGGGTTGGTGAGTCTCAGCACTACAAAGAAACAAGCAAATAGAAGCTCTCTCCCCCTTAAGCCAAACACACTTTTATATCAGCTTCCTAACCACAGTATTTGCTAAATGAATGGAGATAAAGTTCACTGGTAGGCATTTGACTAGTGTCCACATTACTAGGTGCCATCCCCGGCACTAAAATAAATACAGAAATAAATAAAATGAAGTATTTTATTTATTCAGTTGCTGTATTCAGCATTTTTTTTTGAAAAATAGAAACTAGAGTCCTTTTAAATCGCTAGTTTTGCATACCACAATCAAAATTCTCCAGTTAAAATTGTGTATTATCGCCAGGAAGAGGACTTCTTAATTAAGAGTATGAACATTACCATGGTGCTCAGTATTGCCACACCATGATTTAACAAAAGAGCATATTGAAAATTTGCTAACCCTAGGTGTACCTGTGAGGACCTGAGGTGAGAGCCCACACAAGGCTGGACGTGGTAGTTTCCACCTGTAATCCCAGCTCTCGTACGAAAGATGGAAAGTAGACAGGAGACTGCCCAGCAGCTTACAGGCCAGCCAGCCTGGAGTGCAGTGATAAACAGACACTCTATCTCAAGGTGGAAGAAGAGAGATAAGGAAGCTGTCTTCTGCACTTGCGAGTGGGCGCATGCATGCGTGTAACCCTACATACCTACAGACATATGGGAGCATGCATGCGTGTAACCCTACATACCTACAGACATATGGGAGCATGCATGTGTGTAACCCTACATACCTGCTGACATATGGGAGCATGCATGCGTGTAACCCTACATACCTACAGACATATGGGAGCATGCATGCGTGTAACCCTACATACCTGCAGACATATACACCATAGGTTTGTGTAAATTTTCTTTCATTATTGGGTTTTATTTTTGTTTTACTCTTTTTTAAAATAGAAAAATCTTGATGGATTTGAACAAAAGAATATTCCTTTCACTGTACGCATTCCAAACAATGACACTTACGCAGAGAAAATTCAAAATTCAATGGGTGAAGACCAGAGTGAATTAACCTTATTACTCCCCTGAGGAGTGGGGTAGCTACTGTGGTATTAGGAAATATAATTCATAGGCTGAAAATATCACAGCACATATATAATAATATTTGACTTTTAAAAGAGGAACTCCTATCACTGCTACAAAGAGATAAGCCTAGAGAATATCTGTTAAATGAAATAAAGAAGGCACAAAATGGTAAACACCACATAATCATGCTTGTATGTGGAATGCATAAAATCCAAACACACAGAAACAGAGTTAAAGTGATCACTGGAGACTATAGTAGTAGGGACAGTCTGGGGGCAAAGAGGAAAAAAGGTACGCCTGGTATTGTGCAAATAAATAGAACACAAATTACCAATTAAGTCAGGGAAAATAGCAACTTCACTGCCTAGCCACAGATGGCTAGATTGAGATGTGGAATTCTGGTTTGCAGAAGAAAGATTTTAACATCTTTACCTCCACAGGACAGCTCATCCTGAAGCAGAACTAGGTGCATGGGGCAAGAGCATCTTGTAGTACCATCTCCTTTTACGAGGCAAATATGTGAACAGCCACCATTATCCTGGGCACAAGGGTGCTGTCCTGGAAAAGAATGTAATTATCAAAATCAATGATTTATGAACCACAAACAATACCAAATATAAATAAGTTCTGATTTTATTTCTATACAGTGTAATTCCATACTCCATCTCTATAACCTCTAACAAAGTATCTCTGTATAACCACTGCATGGAGTAGGGGAATGATATGGGAGTCTTCACTGTCCCAGCTGGTCTTAAGTCCAAGTGATGATCCTCTTATCTCAGCTCTAGAACTACTGAGATTGCAGGCATGTACAAAATCTAGCATGTTATATAGGCATGCATATTTCATTTTAAAGTATTATAAAAGCAAGGCCTGGGGAAAGTGCTCCAGGTAAGAGTATTTGCCATGAGTGAGGCCCTGGGTTCAATCCTAAACAACAACAAACCTAAAAAAGATGATCAATAAAACTATGGATAAATACAATGAATAAAACTTAACTATGATAGGCTTGCATTACTTTTTAAATTAAGATATTGGCTGGCCACATGTATTCCAGTATTAGGAAGCAGAGGCAGCTGGATCCCGTAAGTTAAGGCCAGGACTGTTTACACAGCAAGTTCCAGGCCAGCCAGGACCACACAACAAAAGCTGGTTTCAAAAGCCTAATAATAAAAAAATGATTTATAGAACTAGAAAAATTGCCAGGGGAGACTTCTGACACATAGTTTTGTTTCTAAAACTGAGAATTCTCTTTTAAATATTTTAACTCAGAACTTCTACTTTTCTAAAAGATAAATTATAAATTATTTCATTTAAAAAAAGCATATTTTAATAAATAATTTGTAGAACATTAAAGTTAGTAGAAGGAAAAACTTAATGGTCACATGGAACTGAAATAGACAAAATTATATGCTTGTTCAACTGCCAAAGATAGCATAACAAAGATCTAATTTCCTCTTACTTGGGTGAAGCTAAAAAGACAAGCCATTAGGCGACTTTTCAATGTCGATTTCACAACTTGTACTTTATGAAGTCATTGCTCTGAATTTTCTATTTAGCTTGTGTTACAAACAACCCTGTGTTTGCTGTTACAGTATTGTTATCATTATGCAATAGAGCCATCCATTATGATTTGTTTTCCATCATAATATGGGTGCTACATAAATTTGTGTTGATGTTAAGATTGTCGACGATCCACAAAGGAGCAGAATGCCCCAAACGGACATTACTTATGATATCTGAATGTGCATCAACAGAGGTGGTTCTCGGTCTTTCAGGTATACAATATTATTCAATTATCTACTTGGTCTGAAGACCAAATCCAGGTCCTGTGGGTGCTAAGCAAGTGCTTTACTACTGAGCTACATTCCAGGTCTTGGTTTACTGAGACTAGGTCTAGCTAGACAGTCCAAGCTGGTTTCAAGTGGGCAACCTTCCTGCCTCCACCCCTTGGTGCTAAGATTTCATACTCAACAATGTTTTTCTAAATGTAATAACAAAGTAAAGAAGAAAAATGATGTGAAGAAGCCACAGGACCATGTCTTGTTTCTTACAACACACACAGTGCTTCTTGCACCGTCCACCTCACTTACTATACTCGTGCAGGTTCAGCTCCTTTACTGCATGGATGTCACTCAGCTGAGCAATTCGAGCCTGGACCTTCGTTCTTCCTTCTCGACCAGTCATGTCAATTTTTTCAATCATTTGCTGCTGCTTATCAATCCAATAGAGCCAGTTTTCAAACACAGTCAGACCCACAGGCTGCAAGATATTAGAGTCTTCTAGCACTATCCTGTTGGCACCTTGGAAAAGGAAAATATTCAACAGTAATGATTTGTGTGGCCAAATCCCACTTTCCACAGTTATCCAATGAATACTAAGTGGACTCGAAAAGTATGGGAAATACAAGCTCTGCACCATGAGACTTAACTGTACCAGAAAACGGTACTAAACCAGACATGTGCAACTGGGAATTAATTACCAATATACAGGGACTTTTCTAGTTAGGAAATGTAGCAAAGAACTTGGGACAGTGAGTTTCAATTTGTTTTTAGCAGAATCCATTTTCAAATTAAATTATATGAAAAACTAACACAACAAAGCAGATGAAAGCAATGCTTGTCTAGATGAAGCAGTGGTAGAAAGCCCAGGGTTCTATGCTTAGCACCCCCCACGTTCTGCAAACACCTGAGACATTTATCAAAAACAATTCTACCCTGATTCCACTTGGCTTCTAAAAATACACAGTCCATCTGACTCACAGGTTATGGACTAATCCTGTAATATCCTGGACTCAATGTCCAAGAACAGTAATACAAGGCAGGGGGGATTAGCTTCTGGATGGTGTGGTAATGTTGAAGCATAGACAGGTGATTCTTGGCACCTCTAGAGTTTGGTGTCATCCATGCTCTCAGAGGATCTCAGAACATATCCTCTGAAGAAAAAGGAGGACCATGTACAAGTCAGCAACATCGAAAGTTTTTTTTTTTTTCCGAGACAGGGTTTCTCTGTGTAGCTTTGGAGCCTATCCTGGCACTCGCTCTGTAGACCAGGCTAGCCTCGAACTCACAGAGATCCGCTTGCCTCTCCTCCCCAGTGCTGGGATTAAAGGCGTGCGCCACCAATGCCCGGCCAAAATCAAAAGTTTTATGGACTCATATGTGTAAGAATTTTCGTGTGTGTGTGTGTGTGTGTGTGTGTGTGTGTGTGTGTGTGTGTGTGTGTGTGTGTGTGTGAGAGTGCGTGCATGCGCGCGCATTTCTGAGGACTGACCCCAAGGCCTTGCTTATAGCTAGACAAGTGCTCTAGCAGTGAGCTGCATGATTCCAGGTGACCACACGGCAGCTCACCCGTCTCTAACTCCAGTCCCTGGCAGGTACCGGGTACACATGTACTACACAAACATGCATTCAGGCAAAACAGTTATTTTTTTAAACTTAAATCTCAAAATAGTGGAAAAGGCAGATTGTCTAGTCAATGGTATTGAGACTAAGTAGACAAAAATGCAAAGTTTCTTGTCTTATCAGCAAATGGAGGTTCCCATGAACCTCAAAGTACAAGATAACTCCAGATAAAACTCTACTAAACAAGGCCAAGGTTGACCCTGACCAGACAGATTCACTTTCATATACCTTAGCAGTAAATTCATATTCTGAACCCACAAAAAAATTCTAGAAATTCAAAGTGGAAAATGGCAGATGAGTACAGTGGTATATACCCACATTGCAGCTGCTCAGAAGGCATAAGCAGGCAGGGGTACCTCAAGTTTTTGGTCAGTGTGGTAAACAGTGCAAGGCTTTCTTTAAAACAGTGGTATGGGGACAGAGAGGGGGGTGTCGGGGGACGGGGGATGGGACTTATGAGCAGTAAGAAACAGGGAAATGCAAACTATCAATCAACACAAAAGAAATTTTGTTCCATTTCCATAAGTAAGAAAAAATTGCTACTATTATATACATTTCAAACTACTGGACTTATAAAAATCCCCAACATTACCAAGTGCTAGGGAGACAATTCTCATATAATGTTGATAGGTTCTTTAGACTATTAAAACTTTGGAGAGAATCCACATTCATTTTTATCTGTCGGTACAAATGGGTGTGCTACTGTCTGTATTATGTAGAAATTCCACCACTGCTTTTAGGCAACAGAGAGGTTCACATAGCAAGGTGGGGGCTGGCTGGTTTGTTTTTGTTTTTGTTTTAACAGGTTTTTGGAATTAGTCCAGCAGGTCTCAAAATAAGAGTCTTCCTGCTTCTGTTTCCAAGTGCTATGATTACAAGCACTTAACACCTTTCCTTATTCTTGAGTGGCACTGATAGTCACATACTGATAGGCTACATGGAATTTCTCCATGAAACACTATCACAAATGATGTTCAGTGATCACTCTGTTAGTATTTCTGTCAGACAGTCATCTAAAAGAGTAACTGCCAAATCAAAGGCTCTACCTCCTTTCAATCCTGGTAACTATTGGCAGACTGTCCTCCACTAGAGGTTCTACTCTTTTAATTGACCCCAAAGTGTCCTGGATTTGTGGTGCGGGAGACAGGATTCAGCATTCACATTAGGCAGATGCTGTACCAATGAGCTCCACCTTCACCCTTAGGAGAGTATGTTATTTCTACCATCCTGGCAAGTACTGGGTTTAATAAACTTCAACATACTTTTTGCCATTCTGACAAAAATAAACAGTGTATTATTTCAATTTTATCTTCCTGGTCACTAAAGAGGCCATGCAGAAACTGGATATCATGAATTATGATAGAAGAGAGAAGACCACAGAGAAACAAAAGGTAAAAATGATGACTGTTTGAAGAGTGAGAATACTCAGATCTTAAGGAGACATATTAGGAAACACACTTCAGAACAACGTCTGCATATGGGAGAGTGCTTCTGAATTTCATATGGAAAAATGCAGAGAGATCAATCATAGGCTAGATTTCAGAGAGGACAGAATGTAAAAGTAGAGTGGAAGAATTAGGAAAGAAAACAAAAAAATACATAATTTTCAGATCAACAAAACTGCTGAGTAATTAGGGAACAAGGATGTAATCTCAAACATCCCCCCAACTAACATAATGCAGAATATATTTAATGAAAAAATTATAATCATGTACAAAAACAACACAAAAGAAGTACAAATGCACAGTAGTGAAATCATCTTAAAATTTAAGTCACGATACAGAAACACTTTGGGTACCTGAGAGATCACTGCTTTCAATTCGCCGGAGGTCTGAATCAGCCCAGAAGAGCTTGCCCAGCTTGCTGTCCAGTGCCAAAGCAATTGGTTTACTTAAGCCACTGAAAAAGAGGACCTCCCGTTCTGTTCCATCCAAGGCAGCCCTTTCGATTTTAGGAGATCTTTCCTGGAGATTGGTAAAATACATATACCTGAAAACAACAGGAGAAAAAGTTACCAAAGAGCCAGACAAACTGAGAATATTCTTGTTAAGAATATGCAGAAAGTACAGCTCAGTGGGAGACCACTTGCATAACACGTGCAAGGCCTTGGGCTTAATCCCCCAAACCACAAACATTTATTTATAAAGATAGGAGGTAAAATACTTTCAAATCTATCTAAAAATTCTCAGCTATATGCAAAGACATACTATGCATATAATGGAATAATCGGACAGTTCAAAGCACGGATATACTTCATAGTTAGGTTAAATATATCTATATCCTCAAGCATTTACTGTTTACGGTAAACAAAGTCTTTCTGATGGACTTCTGGGGTATGCACTCTGCAGTCGGTCGCTCTTAGCAATCAGCCTACTGTGCAATAGTGTGCTAGAGCTGCTCAACTGAGAGCACCTACTGATTAAACTTTCTCCAGGTTCTCCCTGCCCACTCCCAGTCTATTTTTTTACAAAGGTCAAGGGATATATTTATTATTTTTAATAACAGTCACAGAGGGCACCAAGAAGTAAGTGTTCAGAGAGTTAAATTTCACAGAAAAAAATAATGTCCAGAGAGATCTAGTTACAAAATTTTTAGGCATTTCTCTAATTAACCATTTTAATTACCAAAGATGGGACACACAAATCATTTATAGGTTTCATCCCTTTTCTGTAACTCTAGAATTAAGCCATTTTCCTGCTAATGCCCTTATCATCTATTCAGATGCAGCTGAGCATTGACTTTTTTTTTTTTCTAAATCACATACAAACTCCATTAAATGAAAGCAGACATACTAGTTATTTATAATGGAGCCGAAGGTCTAGTAATAACCATGTAACAGAAAAACAGTTGAGTAAAGCAAACTGGAAAGGAATAATCATGACTAAGAAGACACAGAGTAGGCACTGGATTCCAGAAGTGAGAGAATCACACCTGGCTGGGGGATGAAGGAGATCAAGGCAAGCCACACAGAAGATGTGGCAGTGAAATAGTCCTGGAGGGTATGGGTGGGATTTAGAACTAAACCAATGAAAGAACTCTGGGCAGTAAAATCAGAAAAAACAGTAAGAAAATGCAGGACCAAGTAAATGGGAAACACTGAGTAGAGTTGTTTGCTGGTGCAAGGAAGGGTGAAGAGGGCATCAGAGGCGAAAGTGGAAAACTGAGGCTTTTGTAACATACCCTTTCTCAGGGTTTACCACAATGGCTCTGGGTCTGTCTTGCTCGCCTTTTAGAACCACTCCAATTGATCGCCCATCTAATCTTGTCACATCAATGACATTGGTAGCTTCACAGGTCCAGTAGATGTAACGGCTATAAATATCGATGCTGAGGTCATAGGGCTGTATTTCGAGGTTCTGATTTGGAACTGAGCTAACAACTACAGTAAAACCCTAAAGAAAGGAAAAAACACACAAGTTAGATTCCACACCAAACTACAGGCCATGACCACAATTATTAATTTGTGAGGTCACACCTCAGAAGGGTATCCAGTCTTTGGGGATATTTCTTATAGAAAGGGCTTTTATGAGTGGTATATCTGCTTGTTAACATGCATTTCAAATATCCCCCTGGGTTGCTTTATGGAACAGAAGAGTATGCTGAGGATAGCAAAGATAGTCCAGGAATCTGACAATGTCTTGATCAGAGGAGGTACCAGCTTTCCCCCATAACTATAAACAACTGTGGCTCCAATCACACCCTGGAGATACCTCTAGAGCAGTAGTTCTCAACTAAGGGTGATATTGCTTCCATGGGCATTGGGAATGTCAAAATGTGAGAAACCTACTGATGACTACTGGATAAATACAGACCAAGAATGCTTCTAAACATCCTGTAGTGCATACATAGGGTAGCCTTACAGCAAAGAACTGTGCAGTCCCTAAGACCAGCAATACCAAGTGTGAGAAACCTTATTCTTCTGGAGAAAATAGCAATCAGGAGCGCACGCACGCCCGCACGCACGCCCGCACTATTCAGACACAGGGTCTTAATCTATTGGCTAGGAGCTTTCATTTTTAGGTTCCTACATGCTGGGACTACTGCCCTATACCAAGATGCCTGACTACAAATTAATAATAAGTTTTTTTCTTGTAAAGCCAACCAAAAGCAGATTTGTCTATTTATTCTGTCCATATAAATTTTATTTCATTTACTAGGACTTTGAGCTAATATAGCCTTTTAAAAACTACTTATATCATTTATTATCTTTGGCTGTGTAATTTCTCTCTACCAGTTATTGAGTACTAGCCTATGTAGTACAAGGTACAGCTGGAGTACAAAGTATGACCACATTGCACTCGTAAGTATGTATGTATGTATGTATGTATGTATGTATGTATGTATATCTCGCCCTCCTTGTTCTTTACTGTAAGGTAAGACAGAAAAATTGAGTAATATTTCTCTAAATTTTAACCATTCAAAATCCAATTTAAAATCTTTTGAATAAGGAAGACGATAGATAGCTATTGTAATCTCAAGCTTACACTGACTGACCCTAGAAGGAAGGAGTATAAATAATAGTATTGAAATCCACAATGGCACATAGGCACAGATAAGACTGATATTATCCTTATTCTCATTCTAAAGTCCCCAAATAGTAACCAAAAAAATACAGAATCAATAACACATTGTTGACATTTTTAATTTTACTAAGATTATCCTGTTTCTTAATCAATGAGTCTTAAAACGTAAAAAAGGTAACTATTAAACAGGTAGGGGCTTTACGCCTTACATTCTGTTCAACCAAAAAACTTAGCTGGGACTAGAACAAAGACCTACTTGATTTCAAAACATGTATTCAAAGGGATAATGAAAAAATGGCATTAATGGATGTGAACAGTGGTGGAAAAGTCACTAATGACCTAGCTTCCCTGATAAAATTTCCAATCCAATGCCATCATCAAATAATGATATTCGTAGAGTACAGCTACTTTGAGTAATAAAAAAGTCCTAAAATTTCCATTTCCCCTGTAGGCAGATGAAGCCGTGTGGATGGTTAGAGTTAATTCTAGTCAGAAATGGGCTCTAAATTAAGCCTGAGTTACCTGGCCACCATCTTCTTGTGCCTTTCGGATCATGTTCTGTCGAGAGTCAATCCAGTAGAGCTGCTTGTCCAAAGGGTCGTAATCAATGGCCCTAACGTTCCGAAGGCTGTGGATGGGAAGGGTGATGTCAGGGCTCTGCTGCTCGTCGATCACCATGCGGTTGATGGCACTCTTCTGACTGAAGAGCAGGAAGGTGGTAGGAGCTTAAAAGAGAAAAAAAGAGCAAATCTGAAACACTGTGACTCTCTTCACTACCACCCCAAGGTTGGCTGAGCCTGTCTCATGTATGCCATCAGAACCACATGTTAAGGGTGAGGGGAGAAACCTTCGGCACACCTCCAAAAACTCCCTTCAGAGTGAGAACAATCTGGCTATAAACCCAGTTGTAAATTGTTTCCGTCCACTTTGCCCTGAATTTTCTTGTTGCTTTCTCTGGTTTCACTGCCTGGAGTTCTTTCATTGGTTTAGTTCTAAATCCCACCCATACCTCCAGGACCATTTCACTGCCACATCTTCTGTGTAGCTTGCCTTGATCTCCTTGACTCCCACCCAGATATGGTTCTCCCATAGAAACTAAAGCAAAAGAATCACTGTAAATGTGAGGCTGGACAGCGTGAGATGTTATCAAAAAACCAAGAGCAAAAACCAGGGGCTGGAAAAAATGGCTTAGTGGTTAAAAGTGCCTGCTGCTCTTGCAGAGGATGTGAGTTCAGTCCCCAGTACTCATGTGGCGGATCCCAAGTGTCTGTGACCCCAATTCCAGGGGAACTAACATTCCTTTGTGCTCCCTCGGGCACCAGGCATGTACATGGCACACACACACATACACGCAGGCAAACATTCATACACATAAAATAAAGGAAACTTAAAAAGTTTCACTAGAAAATGTTGTGTTCCATGGTAAGATGATACTCTAATTCATAAAAATGAGAAAGTGTATCCAAGACAACACTTCCCTTTCCCAGAATGGGGCCTTTCATTATTATGCAGTCATCTGCTCAGGAAAACATCTGAGAGGTACAGGCAGGAGGCTACTGAGTTGATTTCATGGCCAGCCTGGGTTTTGAACCTCTCTTCAAAACAAAAGTTTGTCAGTACCAAATCCTTTATTTGCTGTATTTTCCCTATACATATCTATCTATCTATCTATCTATCTATCTATCTATCTATCTATCTATCTATCTATCTATCTATCTATCTATCTATCATAAAACTTAGTTGAGGAGCTGATGGCTCACTGGTTCAGAACAACTGTTGCTCTTGCTGCAGGACCAGGCTCAACTTCCGGCACTCCTGGCTCACAGCTTTCTCTAGCTCAAGTTCCCAGGGATCCAATGTTCCTTTCTTATCTCCATGAGCACGAGACAACCTGGTGTGATTGACAAGCTATGCAGGCAAACAGGGCAATAAGAAAGATTATAATATACTATAGTTGCTACACTTAGTACTTTGTGCTTTAGGGAAACTACAAAGAAGAATTAACATCACCTGAATACAATCACTCAGGATACTGTGACAGCTGATGTGAAATCAGCAGATATCCTGCTGCAAAGGACCTAGCAGGAGGACAGCACAAACAGGAGAAGTGCTGGACAAAGAAATGATTCGAATCCTAGTAGGACTGAAATAAGTTGCATTGTGCTACTCAGGACCACATGCAATTTAAAACTTACGAATTATTTCTGGAATTTTCTATGCATTATTTCCAGATGGAGGCTGACAACAGGTAATGGAAACCACTGAAAATGATGGCAGTGGGGGAGGGGAGTTTCCTATAGTTTATATACATAAATTTGATAACAATACTTTATTTTTCTTGGTGCTCAGCCATTACCTAAACCCAGCAGAATCATGTCCTTCTCAAGGATGTAAACACAGGAGGCCATGCCAGAACTCCTTGCCTGACTCAAGATCTTCATGGCTCTTATTGTGGTTGGGGCTTACTTTAAAACCACACTCAACTGTATACAAAGGAACTCATTGGCAGTGACAAAGAATCCTGATACTTGCAACACTGCATTTCTGTTAAGTTCTTCGTTGGTGAAAAGTCCATACCCAGCTTAGAAGATTCAGAAAGTACCCAGACTACTAGAAATTTCCATCACACATGGACCTAACAAACCATGAGCAATTTCAGTAGAGTTCAACTGTAAGAACACACTTTAGATGGCTCAGCAAGGTAGAGGCACCTCTCACTAAGGCTGGTGCTTCAAATTCCATCTCCAGGGCCTACATGGTAAAACGAGAGTCAGCTCCTTCAGGTCGTCCCTCTGACCTCCACATGTATGCCACGGGATAAGCGTGTAGTGTGTGTCCATGTACAAACACAATTAAATTCAAGTATAATTAAAGATTTTAATGAAAAAAACTAACAATTAAATATGGTGGATTATTTCTCAGGGGAAGCTGATAGTTTGAGTTTCTTACAGTCCATGCTTAAAGTGATAAAATATATGCCATTTAAAAAGTCTAAATCTACCCTCTAACCCTCAACCATACTTTGACATCTCCTATAGAAAGCTATTTAAAAACAAACAGCCAGGCGTTGGTGGCGCACGCCTTTAATCCCAGCACTCGGGAGCAGAGGCAGGCGGATCTCTGTGAGATACAGCTCCAAGCAAATATTACATAGTACTCATAAAAACAGCACACAAGAAGCCTTGAGGCACCGCTGACTGTATCAGACAGTCAAACACAGTGATTGACTCAACAGTGATTCCCCATGGTGTTCACTCCCCAACCAACCAACCAACCAACCAACCAACCAACGGGACATATCCTGCTACCTACACAATGATCTCAGGAAGTCTTGCCACGTTTCTTATGTCTCTATTTTCTAACAGTTCTTCTTGCACTCAAAAGCTGAAATTCTTGAGAGAAATACCTGTCCATGTCACTGCTCCCTCCTGTTCTTTGTGAGACTCATTGTGTAAGTGTACTCCAACTTGTCTTTCACCATCACTTCCCTGAAATTCCTGTTTTCCTGGTCAACCAGACCCACCTTTAGCCAAAATGGATGGAAACTATTTAAAAGATGGGTGCTATTTTTAAGACCTCACCTAACCTCTCAGCAGTGGTTAGCAAGTCTTGTTTGAAACAATTGTATCTCTTCTCTTTGGTACTTTAATGTTCTCTGCTGTTCTTAGTTCTCTGGCCTCTGGCTATGCCAAGTCTCAGTGACCTTTGCAAACTTGTCCTTCTGAGCCAGTTCTTTTGGTCATCAGGTCCCTTCTTTTCTCCCCATAAGGTATTGTAAAATATGGCCCATGAACTAACCCTGGTCTGCTGCCCCTTAATGTAATACCATCTGTGGCTGCTGTCGACAGAGCTGGGCAGACCTGAGCAGTGTTAAAAGAACCTGTGCTCCCATGTACCTAAAACTGCTATATCTGGTCCTTCCAAGTCTGCCAGCCCAGCATTCAACTCTCTCTGTAAGTAACATCATGTAAACACTGGCAGCTCTGAAATGTATGCCATCAGCCTTACCACTTCCCTTTGTTAGTACACTGACTCCGACACCAAATCTGGAATCATCTTTGCTTTATTGCATCTCTCTTCTTCTCCACAGTAAGCTTACTTCCAAGATCTATTCTAACTCCAAAGCACATCTACAAGTCATGAGCATCTCACCGTCACCACCCATTGCCAGCACACTGGCAGTCCAGGTCTTCCCCAGAGCCACATCACTTTGCACGCACTGACTTAATACATATTGTTGGATTCTTACAGCAACTCTAGCTATTATTCACATTTTTAAAATGAGAAAAATTAAGGCTCAGAAATCTCTAAAGTATAATCTCTTAATTATAATCTGTATTCTTTCTCCATAATTGAAGCCCATTTCAGAATAGATTAAATCCTTCCCTATATAATTTCAGATACATTTCTTCAGATAACAATATAACTTCACTAGTTAATTATATCTAAAATCTTACACCAAGCCGTTACTGTCTTCCAGACTGACAGTCTCCTGCCTCCCAAGACTTCCTGGCTGGGTGTTGGTAGCAAACCCCTTTAATCACCAGCACTCGGGAGGCAGAGACAGACGGATCTCTGTGAGTTCCAGGCCAGCCTGGTCTACAGAGTGAGTTCTAGGACTGGCTCCAAAGCTATACAGAGAAACCCTATCTCCAAGACTTCTTGATCTGATCATTTACTAATTTTTGTATCTAAACCTCAAGATACGGGTTTCCATAGATACTTAAGTCATATACCAGGTTTTTAGTGACCAACAATGTTGTAACATGCTTTGTTGTTAGCACTGTGTGTGTTCCTTTTTAATGTGACATTTTTGTTAACTTTAAAAAGATATTGCAGGGTGTGCTGGTCTAAATAGAAATGATCACCACAGGCTTATAGATTTGAATGCTTGGTCATCAGGGAGTGGCACTATTAGGAGGTACAGTTTTGAAGTAGGTATGGCCTTGTAGGAGGAAGTGTGTCACTCAAGGTGGGCTTTGAGGTTTCAAATGCTCAAGGCAGGTCCAGTGTGTCTTTCTGCCTGTGGATGTAGATATAGAATTCTCAGCTAACTCAGCCTGCCTGCATACTGCCTCTGAAACTGTAAGCCTGCTCCAACTAAATGTTTTCCTTTATAAGAGTTGCAATGGTCATGGTGTCTCTTCACAGCAACAGAACTTAGACTAAGACACAGGGACCTCCGTCCTCATCATGTCAAATTCTGACCATGACTAGGTGAGAAGATCTAGAATCAATCAGTGACTACACACTATGTTGACATGGACCCGTCCCCATCTGTCAACTACTGCTCCACCCTGGGTTTAAACTTCTTCATGTGCATTTCCTGTATAGCTTCACAGACAATTAAAATGCTTGTTTGTCCTGTTTTATGTACTTCAAAGAAGTATATTTTAGGATTCTCTTTGTTCTACTGCACTGCTCTTCCTTTATGAATAAATAAGCAGTATGTATTAACACATGTGTGTTTCTCTTACACTACACATTTTTCACTAAATACTTAAAGCCCCAAAGTAACAGACAACAAACACTGCTATGAAATTAAGCTGCTATCATGAATTAAGTGACAAAAACTTGTATGTCTTCCATTAGTCTTTCCTTTTAATTACACAACTTTTTATGTTTTTCTCTTTTTTTTGAAGCATTCTCAAAGTGCTGCTTACTCTTCTAATTCTAGTTGCCTCTGGGGCACACTGTAACTTACTTACCACTACAAGTCCTGTTGTCAGCATTCAGGGAATAGTGGGCAGGGCATCCACACACAAAACCTCCAACTGGCACAGCCAGGCAGAGGTGGGAGCAGTGCCCGTTGCTGGAGGCACATTCATTCCACCCTGCCTGCCGAGAGGAGTGGAAAACAAGGATGTCCATCACATAATCCAAATGGCCCTGGATGATGGTGCGGTTTTGGCCACTGGTTTTGTTGGCACGTTCAATGCTCCGTCGGCTCCAATCTGTCCAGTAGATGTAATCTTGGTATTGAGTTAGGCCAAAAGGATGAGGCAAGTCATCTGCTATAACTTCACGGTTGAGTCCTATAAAGTCAGTAAACAAGGGAGAGTCACAGAAATGAACCAAGTGAGGAACAAGTGTCTTTTGAGGGAGAAAAAAGTCAACATATGAAACATTATCTTTGTAAGCAATTTAAAATAGAACAATTCATAAAAACAATTATAAGACCAGATCAGGCCTCTGAAATTAATGAATGTGTCTATAGTCTGACCCCATGTCTCAAACTCATATCCTTGCTATAAATCACTAAGCTTCTTTAAATTCCTGTGGACTATTTTGATTCTCATTTTATTTACTCTACATGAGGACTTGGCATTATTTCTTTCTCCTACAAAAAGATGGGGGAAAAAATATATATGCATATGCATGCACTTCAGGAGTACCCCTTCAAAAATATCAGTACAGATCCAATAGAAATGACACGGGTCACTGGATAGCTATTAATAATAATAAAAAAGATGGAATTCTAAAACAGCAGAAGCAGCTAGCTACTGACATGAAGCGTCAGCAACACCATCTACACAAGGAGTGGCGACCACTGACTTCTACATAAAGGCAGCAGCTAAGAACCAAGTAGTGGAACTTACCAAGCATATTTGAAGACTCTATCAAGTTAGTGTCCAGGTCTGTCCAGTAAAGCCGCCTTTTAGCATAATCAATAGTTAGACCATTTGCTCGCCCCACATTTGGAACTAACGTAGTCCGTTCACTTCCATCCATAGCAGCTCTGTCAATCTTAGGCTTTCCTCCCCATTCGGTCCAATACATAAATCTGGATTCAAAACAATGGAAATTTAATAGTTCACATTTGACTTTGGGAGAAAAGAGGTCATATTCATGTATAGTAACTGAATAAATTTGAAGACAATATTAGTAACTTAAGTAAATACATAAAACAAAGTCATGGCTATGATCCTTCCAAGTATTTAGTCATTTCCAACTAACTGGATTTCTCACATTCCAAGAAAGATGTGAGTCATGTAGTTTTCCTTAGTCTTCCCAATCAATTTGTTCCACCCAGACTTAGGAACTGGAAATAAACCGATATTTTCTGAACTGCAGCATTAACATTTATAAAGCTAGTATTAAGAAAAGGATTAATGGTATGATGTAAGAATATGGTTCACTTTACTAAAATATCTTTGTATATTTCTGAATATAAACAACCTAAAAAATTTAAATACCAGATTTACCTTCCAACTTGTATAATCAACTTTCTTTAAAAATGAGCTGCAAGAGTACACTAATGTAAAAATAAACAGCAGCCTTTAAAGGCTAATATCAAAGGCAAAGCTGGAAAATATATTTGGTCACACAGTTCAAGGGAACATACTACACAAATAAGCACAGTGTACCATCCTACTATGTTGGCTGAGCAATGAGCAAAACTAATTTTCCTTATGACATTTTAAAATACTTGTTTACTTACACATTACTTTTCTGAGAGGTCTCTTTCATCTTAGTGCTCCCTATGGCTTTTCATATATGGAAGTCCGAAAAGGTAGAGAAGATAAAAGCTCCATCTGATGTTTCCAAGTCAGTTGTTACACATCATAGCAAGAGCTAGAGTCTTACCCTTAACCAAATGCCTTTCCAGCTAAGCTAGGTAGCTGATAGTGATCCCTTAGCACTGGGCCTGGGGAATCACTCCACATGCCAGCTCTCATGAAATGCTGAAGGACATATATGCACTCAGCAGCCTGTCAACTGAAGGTTCACTTGGCAGCATTTGCTATGAACATGTTTTCTGAAAATTAGAGTTGTCCTAGACTTTGTTTGCATTTGCTTTTGTCAATTAAGAGCCATGTGCACACCAGTGCAATCTGCAATGTTGTCAAATTGCAAACAACTGTGATAGAAATTTCACACTTATCAGCAGCGTTCTAAGTACTGAACTGATCTGACTGACAACCAGTGCTTAAAGCAAAGATCACTATGATCCCACTATACCTTCTGGTATATAGAGAAGCTGTCCTTCATATGCTCCCCCCTCCCCGGCTAGACAAACAAAGACCTAATGGTGAGCTTAATGTGAGAATTTCATTAGAAACAATTTTAATTTTCAGATGTTTCAGCTGCTACACAAAAACATGCTGACTCTTGTCATAAGGACCACCTAACCCTGAAAAAAAAAAAATGTGCTGCAACAAACAGGTTAGTCTAATACACAATGCCATTGATTTCTAAGTTTACATTAAAGACTATACTAACTGCCCACTTTAAATTAATGGGCATCCTAAAATGCAACTTTTGGGGGCAAGGACTTGGGTTGGATTACAAACAACATTCATATGCATACAGACACACACAGATAAAATGAATGGCACTTTCCAAAATACATAGCAATACAACCCCCCTACCTGTGAGGGATACATTCTAACACATTCCCTCACACTGCATATCTGAAACTATAATAATACAAACTATATATATAAACTATGTTTATTCCTATACTCACTTATACAAAGTTTAAAATATAAATTTGGCCCCAAAAGATTAACAATAAAAATAGAAAAAATACATAGCCTAGTAAAAGCAATTTAAAACTTATGCTCATTTCTTGAATGCTTTATCCAATATTTCTAGACCACAGGTTGGTAACTAAGATTGTGGAAAGCAAAACCAGAGTGGGAGTAGGGGACCCACATTAGTTGTTTTTCAGTATAGAACATTGTTTTAGTGGGTTTCGAATTGAGGTCTAGAATCTATACACTGGAGGGATTTGAGGAGAGTAACTAAATGCAGGATGATGATAAAACACTGTTCACTCAGTAAAATAATATTGATCAACTAATATTTTATTGTGAAATATATTTCACTTTCTTCATCCAATGTTATGATGAGGCAAATTTTAGCAATGAATTATTATTAAGCAGCAAAATGTGAATTCCCTGGGGTTTATGTTTGTTTGGTTTTATTTTTTGTTTTTGTTTTCTTGAGACAGTGTTTCTCTGTGTAGCTTTGGAGGCCATCCTAGAACTAGCTCTTGTAGACTAGGCTGGCCTCGAACTCACAGAGATCCGCCTGCCTCTGCCTCCTTAGTGCTGGGATTAAAGGCATGCGCTACCATCACCTGGCCGAATTCCCTGGGTTTTTGGGGTTTTGTTGGTTTTTGAGATAGTCTCAATCTGTAGCCCAAACTGGAATGGAACTCATGATGTAGCTGAGGCTGGTCTTGAACTCCCAGCAATGCTTCTGCCTCAGCATGCCAAGTGCTGGTCCTACAAGCATGAGCCACTATGCCCAGCAGTAACTGGTTTTAAAATAAATCTTTCCTATCATTTAGTTGTCAGATTATTAATAAACATTAAGACAGCAAGGATATAATCCAAAACCAGTGTGTGACTAAACTATGAAGAATATACACATAAAGCTATTTACCCTTCAGCAGGATCCAATGCCAGAGCTCGGGGACTGTCAAGGTCTTTCCATACCAAAACCTGTCGGTGTTGTCCATCCAACTTTGACACCTCGATGCGATTCGTGCCTGTGTCTGCCCAGTACAAGTTCTTCCCAAGCCAGTCTACTGCCATGCCTTCTGGGTAATCTAAGCCAAACTCTACCACATGTTCCAGTGCACTGCCGTTCATAAAGGCTCTGCTAATAGTCTGCAAAAATAAAATGTGCAACTAAGACATGTGGCTTAAGGTTAGAGCATTGTCCAGAAGTGACAACTTTTAGTATATGCAACTGTATATTTAGGGGGAAATTTCTAAATTGGTGAAGAATCAAAAAATTTTTATTAAGGCAATGGAATGAGATGGCTGGTTGTGTTTGTTTATCTAGTGTGGTGTGTGTGTTGGGTATGCACACGCATAGGCCAGAGAAGAACACTGTGTGTCTTCTTTTACCACTCTTCACCATATACCTTTAAAGCAGGATCTCTCATTGAACCAGAAGCCAGCCCACTGTTTGAGCTAAACTAGCAAACCAGCAAGCTCTTGGGCTCTGCCTGTTTCTACTCCTCAACACTGGGGATTCAGACATAAGAAGACATATACAACATTTTATATGGGTGCTAGGGATTTGAACTCAGGTCATCATGCATACAGAGCACACATTCTAACCCATGGAACCATCTCCCCAGAATGGGTTTTCTTTGGAAATTTCTAGGCAATCAAATGAACAAGAAAGGACCAGAATGCTATGAGCTTACTGGAAGTCAGTTTTCTGAAGACACCTGCATGTATGCTAGATCAGCATCAATTCAGAACTCAGCCACCTCTAAGCTCATAAAACAAACAGAACCAATTTCTGTATCATCATTAAGGTTTTGAACCCCATCAATTTTAAAGGCTAATAACAAAATGTTAGCTACTGACAAGTTCTAGGCCAAGTGGTGTATAAGTGGTGTCTATCTGCAGATATTCTCATTTAATACAAGAGTCCAGCAAGATGATTCACTCAGCTAAAGCCGAGGTTTATTTACTTTTTTTCCCACTCAATTAGTAGATTTCCTTAAAAAACACTAGAATCCAACTGTCTGGTTCCAACACCTCGTGTTCTTTGCAAGTTAGAAGTGTACAAAAGTTATTTGAAATAAAGCCACAATCTAGAAGAAAGGAAGACTACCCTCCAGATTTTACAGCAAGGAGTTTCCTCACTAGCTCAATAAGCTTCTCAGCATTAATTCTAGGAACAATAAAACGGAAGGATGCTATAATGCACAATCAGCACTTTCTACCACAGTCAGCTGGCATAAGTTGCTGTATTTGTATGTCACGGTAATTGAACGACATTGTAATTCAAGCTCTCACTTTCTACCCTGGCATTTGCACTCCAAACTTCTTTGCTAACCTTCAGTGATATATCAGTCCAGTAAATTCTGTTGTCAGTGACATCAAAATCCAAAGCAGAAGCTTCTTTGACACCAGTGAGAGGAATGGCCACATTATTATTGTTTGTTTCCAAAGATATGCGCCTGATATCTGCTCGCCGTGAAAACAGAAGGAAAGCCTCAGGAACTATGCAGGTCTTCATGTCACTGATGAGCTCAAAACCAATGGGACAGGCGCATCGAAGACCCTGAGGCCTGTAGAGGCAAAGATGGCTACATCCTCCATTTTCCTCAGCACAGGGGTTGGAACCTAAAAGAAAAACACGTTACAAAAGGCATAGAAAAGCACACACAATCACACAATCAACACATATCCACTTCTAAAGTAGGACATACTTGGTTCAAAGATATAAATTGCATTGGTCCCAACCTAGTTTCAACTCCATGTTTACAAACAAGCAGTATCAGGGCTATCCGTGAGTGAAAGTATGGAGAAATGCTTTTTACCACAGTGAGTTTTAAAATAAGGTGCATTACTTATACAGCAGGGCTGAGTTCTTTTGATGAAGGTGGCTGGCTGCCTATGGGTCTGCACAGAGCAGCACACTGTAAAGTCAGAATACTGGCAGATACAAGTAAAGATGATTTTAAATCGCTTCAAATGTCAACAATTCAACTCTATACTTTACAAACTGCTGCCTGCCTCTCTTCATCTTTTCTAGATCTAGCTTCCATTTCTGAGAGACTCTGGAATGACGCACCAATGACTCTGTGGACACTTGTGGCCTTCAGTCCCATGAGGTCGGGCAGCTGGTCTATGATGACCTCCCTGTCCGCACTTCGTTTGTGCACTCTCTCGATGCTCCGCCTCTGCCAGTCAGTCCAGTAAACATAGTCGCCCAACAGGGTGAACCCAAATATGTGAGGAATTTTGTCTTCCACCAGCACCCGTCTCCCAGTGCCATCGGTATTCATAACCTTCAGTTTAAGGTTGAAGAAGAGGAGGGTTAGGTCAATACTTATCCTTTGAACGTGTGTAAAATGAAAACTCCTGCTAAGACAATGCACCACAAAACACAAAATGATTCAATGAGAATAATTTTAAACATTCATCCTACGTTCATGTTTGCCTTTTTCTAATTTCTTATCATTTTCCCCTTAAATTTTTCTGGTAAGCTTAGATTTAGTATGAAACTCTTGCATTGAATGACTGTCAAAATTAAACATGAATTATCATTAATTTAATTTTGCATGTTTTTCTCAGGTTATAAAGTATATAACACACTATCTTGTTTTACAATATTTTACTTCATCCTTTAGAGTCTGGGTTTTTTCTAAGGAAACTAAGATTCATTAATGTCACATCACTTGTAAAGAGTTAATGCTTCTAATGTAGTTGTTTAAATAACAACCATCAAAAAATTAATAGATAAAAGGGTAAGATGTTTGAGTAAATCATTCAGGTCCTACTTATAAAAGTACAGTACCTGGAGCCTGCAATGCCCTCTGTGCAAATATATTCCAATAATCAATGCTATACCTATCCTTCCCAATTACCCAAGAGCAATATTAGTAAATCCAGCTGTGTATTTGTAGCAACCTGTGCTAATCTTGTTTGGAGAAGTGGTGAAAGCTTCCTGATGCTTAGCTTAAGATTATATAGGTCAGTTAGTGTAAGCACATAGAAATCCCTGAATTCAATCCCTAGTACTATTTAAAAAAAAAAAAAAAAAAAAAAAAAAAAAAAAAAAAAAAGGAGGGACATGGTGGAGACAAGACAATCAGAAGTTCAAGGTCATCTCAGACTACATAACAACTCAAAGGCTGGTATAGACCGGCCGGGTATTTCAAGAAAGTCAGCACTGTAATTGCCTTCATGGGCAACCAGATGCTATCTTTTCTATCTTCTCTAAAGTTCACAGACATCTGCTCAACTTCCAAAGAAATCTAGCACCTGGAATATGATCAAACAAAACTGTTCTATCCTTGTACTGTCACTTGCAAGTCTCAATAACATTTGATGTATATCTAATGGAAGAGATTATATTAGTGCTATCTCTATCAGATATAATGGGACTATTAGACAATTGTAAGCAACAGTAAACAACACTTTCTGAAGATCAAAACCTAAACACCACTCCGTGACCTTCATGAAACATTGAAGTTACATCTAATTTTTTAAAAATAGATTAAACTTTTGGGATTATTCACATTTTCTTTCAATAGATCATTCTTAGATCACATTTATATGTAACTAATATTTTAAAATTATTTTCATTTTTTAAATAGGTCTGGGTCTATGTATGAGTGCATGCATGCAGGTGCCCATGGAAACCAGAAGGGGGTGTAGGACTCTAGGTCTGGAGTCACTGGTAGCTGTGACCTGCCCAGCATGAGGGAAGCAAACATGTGCTCTCTAACAGCTGAGCCACCTTTCTATGAAGCCTGTGGGGGTAAACAGTGACCAGTGACAGGGATGTGTGCTCTAGCACAGTCTCAAATCCCTTCTAGTCACGATGCAAGCACCTAGCAAATAGCTCAGTAAATGGCAAAGCAGCTTTTAAACCAGGGGCACGATGAAATGAATACTCTCATCACAAATAAAGCAAAGCCAGAGAAACTTCCCTGCTGCATGCCTGGCTTTTACAAACAATTTGTACTCTTTTAACATGAATGCTTAAAGTGTTTGTTTTTAGTTGTGAGCCTGGCCTTTAATGGCTGAGCCATTCATTTCTCCAGCCCTAAAGTGTTTATTTTTAAACTCTTGGATTCTCCTCATTAAAAAAGAAAAAAAAAAAAATGACTGCCTACTTGAGAGGACTAGAGGGCACAAAGGCATAAAGAAGTCATATGTAAGAAGAATCTAACAGTGATTAAAGGAAAAAATAAATACTTACTGTGGCTGCTATCATCATGTCTATAAAAACCTTCCTCTCCACTCTCCAGCTCTTACAGTTTACCCAGGCTCTTAGAAGTAGTTTGTAATACACAAAGGGTTAGAATTCACATTTTATTTATTTAGTGTTTCTTTTCTGAGATATGGACCAAAATGGTCACTAACTTAAGATCTTCTGCTTCAAGCTACCCTAGTGCTGGGATAACAGGGTCATGACACCACTCCCAGCTTGAATACACTTTTAAAATATCAGCGAACATTATCATAAAATGGGATTGTGAGGATTGCTAGAAATTACCTGTGCAAAGCTCTCAAGCCAACTTCCTAACAGCAGACAGGAGAACTTGTTTATACAACGCCCTCACTCTCAATCCTACAGTGTTATTACTTGAACCACAAATGCTCTTCTCCCAATATTTAAATCCATGGCAAAACACAATGGGCCAAGTGAATGAACACATTTTCCATCCCTTTCTAAAGTCAGAGAACTCTTGGCTCTATTCTCTTGCTACTCTCAATTTTGTCATGAAGAATCTTTCCTTTACTAGATATCCACATTGAGAAGGTGTCTTAGGCAGGGGAAGTTTTAAGATTTGTTTTTATTATTTTTAATTATGTGTAGGTGTTTGTGTCTGCATGTGGGTGTATACACATTAATGCAGGCTCTGGGGGAAGGGGGAAGGTGTCAGGTCCCCTGAAGGTGGAGATACAGACCATTGTGAGGTTGCGGGTGTGGGTGCTGGAACTGAACTTGAGTCCTTTAGAAGACCAAATGTACTGAATAGCTAGCCACCTACCCAGCCCATTACATCCCCATCTTAATTAAGATTATCTGACTTTTACTCCACCCCAGAATGGAGTTGGAAACACCCCATGCTCCATCACACATTTCTAGGATTTCCTCCCAATACTGCTCAGGAGTTCCCCTTGTGTTTTAACATAGCATCTCAGGAAGCGTGTATGCAAATGGACTGCTTCTATATATCCACTGTGAATCACTCGTTCTCATTTCATTGCCATATTATTTGCATATGATCTGTGACAACAGCCTCCTCCTATCATCAATTCCTTTAACTTGCTGAAATGCATTCCAAACTGAACTACTAAAGACGGCCTCCGACTGCCCTCTTCTTTCCTCAGTCCCTATGCTCTCCCATGTCTTTTTCATTCTCAGTGTCCTTACAAACCCACTGAAACTTCACCAAGCTTATTCAGCAAAATATCTCTCTTTTCATTTCCGTTTATTTCACTGGTTCCTTCCCCCACCCCAAATCCTGGCTTCATATTTTTCAAAGATCCTGAATCAACCCGATTTCTTCTGTCAACTTTATGTAGGAAACTTTCAAACCTTATGTTCTAGGACTGGAGCGGCAGCTCAGTCAATAAATTGCCTGTTACAAAAGCCCAAAGATCTGAGGTGGCATCCCCAGCACCCACACAATAAACCAGGCATAGCTTAATAATCCCAGTGATGGGGAGGCAGAGACAGGCAGATGGACACACACACACACACACACACACACACACACACACACACAGAGGGAGGGAAAGAGGAAGGGAGGGAGGGAGGGAATCTGTAAATTCTAGTCTAAGGTCAGGGTCTTTGTACATTTATTTGGTCAGGAGCTCCTGTTATACAGCAAAGGGTTTGGAACTCACCAGAATCCTGCCTCAGTCTCCAAAATGCTAGACTTACAGAAATATGTTGGCACACCTGGCTTTCTGGTTAGTTTCAATGCAGTATTTCTACCTGCCTCTTCAGGAAAATGCACTACTATCTCATCTAAAAGTCATAAATGAAAAAAGTAAACTGTGCTCTCTAGTGAGAGATGTCCATCAGCCCATCAGAGAGCACCCTACATAGAGTACTAAATATTCTTTATTAACAAACTTTCTTATAAGCTTATGGTACACTAAAACAAGTCTGATTTAACTTTATACCTACTTTTACTGCTATCTTAAACAATTATCTTACATTATACTACATTCAATAAATTACACCAATTTGTTATTGCATTCAAAGTTATCCATCCTACTAAAATGAACTTGCTGGTCTAGAAGTACAAATGAGATGACTAATAACAAATGCTGTAAAGGAATATTTTATTTCTACTTCAGAAATATTACAGGATCTACCAATTCTTTGCTTTGAGCTCTATCACCCTGTATCGTTTCTGCTTGTCATCTGAATGAATAGACGGCTTCAATGCAAGATGGCTGAGGGCTGCTGTGGTGATGGCTTAGTAAAGTGCTTCCTGCATAAGCACAAGGACCTGTTTGCTCCCCAGAAACCGCATGAAAGCTTGGTATGGGGGCACATGCTCACAATCCCAACACTGGGAAGGTGAGCACAGGAAGATTCTTGGGGTGTTCTTGCCCCGTAGCCTAGTCTACTCAATGAGCTCCCAAGGGTCCCTGCCTCAGGTTGGACAACACCTGAGAATGACATCTGAGATTGACTTCTGGCCTCCACATGTAGCTACATACACCAGCAACCCTACACACAAAATAAAAATACAATTTTTAATTTTAAAAAATGAATGATTGGGGGCTAGAGAAGGGCTCGGTGTTTGAGAACACTGGCTGTTCTTCCATTGGACCCAGGTTCTATTCTCAGGACCAATAAGGCAGCTCACAACCTTCTGTAACTCCCACTCCAGGGAGTCTGATGCCCTCTTACGGCCTCTGTAAGCACCAGGCATGCATGTGATGTACATACCTACATGCAGGCAAAATGCTCATCCATATAAAAATATTTTTAAATTAGATGATATAGGCTGAATTGGATTCATATAGGATGAATCTGGATTAACAGGCTAAGAATAAAACTAAAAAATCACAAATAAAAAAATTAAAGCCACAATTCAAAATGACAAATTTTTTAGCTCACATAATTCTGTGTCGTCTGTTTAATAACTTTTCATGTCCTCTGCTCTCTTTTTATTTAAATCTCAAGTGATAGCAAATAATAGTGACAGAAACAGTTAAACTGGGTTCAGATTCTCTACCATGCACTGGATAACAAGTGAACCATTACTAACATGATTATTCAAAAAACTAATTAAAATAACGTTACTTATGT